GCAGTTGTTATTGTGGAGGAAAAGCTGTGATCACAAACTACGTAGAAAGAGGTCGATAAAAATAGACAAACCGGCAGGACTGAGGGAGGGATGGAAAGAGTAAAGGGAGTGAAGATATAAGCGGCGATGGTGAGGACAGTGTGGACAACCTGATGTGATTTAGAAGCCATTCCCTCATCCCAACAGCCCTGCGAAGGAATTCCCAGTTGGACAGGGGGCCCTCGTTTTACTCCAGTCTAGCACTTCATCCCGCCCCACCAGCTCAAGCTTCAGCTGCTCTAGGACTGGGCAACATGGGAGCGCACAAGGGTACATGAGGGACAGGAATTTAGGGAGAGGGGGCAACCACACCCTGCTTATGTGAATGAGTGTCAGTGTGTTTGAAGGGTCCAGGGTGGGGAGACAGCTGGGATGCCGGACGCTCCACACAGACTGGAATTAGAAACATTCTCACACAAGGACCTGCGGGCACACTCCCACAACATACAAACACACCTTCTGTGTCTACATATCACCCTATAGCACACGCCGACCTGCTGCTAAATATGAGAACATATCCAGACAGGAAGCACCGGACGACACTGGCAAGACATTTCACAATAAAGTCACAAGTGCGACAAGTTTCCCTGTTTCTCTCCAGCCCATTTCCACGACATCTCAATACGCTCATTGTTGAGAAGCTAAACAATGATACTGACTAATCTGACACCTTCTCTTAATACCCCATGCCCCCCGCAGCTGCCCCGACGGAGCTTACACAACAAAAAAACCTCTCAGACACACACACACACACACACACAGAGGATCACCCTCCCCTCTCCGCCCCTTTGAGCAATGACATCATTTTGGATTTGGTGTCTTTGAAATGGAGTCTGGTTTGCGTGGAGCGAGGCGAAAATGAGAGCAGACTATTTTGTGGCAGACGAACGGGCTGCACTCAAATTTATCTTACAATGTTTCATTACAAAGTGGTAGACGAAAGGAGAGAAATGGGGCAGAGAAGATGGAAAATTGAGGAACGCTGGCAGCCAAGTTGGATGAATACCAAAGATGTCTTTCTGAACACATTTTATCCGTCTTTCTCTCTTCTTCCCCTTTGTAATGAATGAGATCCCATTCTGTAGCTTCCTAAAAATAACCTATAGACTGCAAATACATACAGTGGGGTTCAAAAGTCCACTTTTTCAAATGTAATATTTTTTCCTGTTACAAATGATATTCATTCAGCATAGCATTAATATAAGCATAGTTTACGTGAAAAATTAACATTCTCCAAAATGTCTCAGTATTTTGCTTTAATGAAAAAATAAAATAAAATTGATATACATTTTTTTAAACATTTTAAAATAAATAGTTAATTTTTAAATTACATTTATATCTATTTGTATAAAAATAATAAAAGTTATAAAAATAATTGTATTGTTTTGCTTTTAGTGTTGTAGCCCACATTGCAACTTTTTAGTCTTTGTGAGTTAGAGATACATGGTTGTCTTTATTTTAAGGTCTTCAAGGCCACAAGACAATGTTAAGAAGCAGTAATTTTCCATGGCCTTTTGTTTGTTATAATACCAATTGCTGACTGACTGAGTCAGACTGAGCATTTAGAAAGACACAACAAAGATTATTAAGTACATTAAGCATCTGCTCATTATTATTTTGAAAGTTATATTTTCTGATGGAAAGAAAAATCTAATAACTTAGATCTTATAAAAGTGTATCCCATCAATACGTCAACATGAGTTTTGAAGCCCGCTGTACTTTATATTTTATATTCACAACTTTGTTGGGTTAGGGTTAATTCTTTAACCCTACTTCACCCCTGTATTGATTAGACATCCACATGAGCTTCATTGCAGACCATACTGACAACACCCACTTCTTATTCAGCTACGTCGTCTTCTGTTCTCTATTCATTCCCTTTTCTGGCCCTCTCGCTGTCTGCCTGCGCTCTGAAACACATCTATACAACCTGCTTTTATTTATATCAGAATGAAAGCCAGAAAAGGGGATGGTGAGTGTTGGTGTGCATTCAGTTCACCATATCGTTAAAGATTTGATAGAGAGCTTTATTAGACCGCTATGCCTATGATGAGATGAGGTAGGAGTGAAGGTATGAGACATGCAAGTGGGTAGACGAGGAGTAGAAAACCAGAAATACTCAAAAATTGAAAAAGCGTGAGGAAAAGACAGAAGAATTTCTCAAGACTTCCTCAGTGATCCAAGTTTCTACAAAGCAATTCATAATAAAGACAAATCAAGGACATTTCATTAAAAATAAAACATTTAACTAATGACAGACCAATATATTGTCCATAATCCATATTTGGGTATGCATAATTCATATTTGAGCAATGATCAATAACCCTGCCTGCTTGGCTGATTAAAACTGATTGCCTTACTAGTTGATTTTTTTCATTTAATTTCCAAATCACTAACTACGCTTCAGTTCAAAAGTTTGGGGTTGGTAAGATTTTTTTTTATGTTTTTGAAAGACGTTTCTTATGTTCAACAAAGCTGCATTTATTAGATCAGAAAGTCAAAGCATTAATAATTTGAAATGTTGTTAAAACTCCTTTTCTATTGGAATATATTTTAAAATGTAATTTATTCCTGTGATGACAAAACTGAATTTTCAGCAGTCATTACTCCAGTCTTCAGTGTCACATGACCTTTCAGAAATAATTCTAATATACAGAACATATATATAAAATAGGGTAGAGCTGGAAGTGGGTGGACTACAGTACAGTGGGTTCTTGCACCTGACCCCTTCCCTTTTTACACTCCCATATTGACACTGTGGACTGACACAGATTAGCGCTATGATCAGATTTAGCTCAGTGTCCATCACAATGAGCTCTCTCCATGTTGGCACTCAACAGTGGAATGCAATACTATGAAAAAAACCCTGCAATTAAAGGTTTACCTTGCAGGAAATTAAAACATCTCTGAAGAACGCAAATCAGAGTGACAAATTTCACCCTTCCAAATTCCAAGAACTTCAGAAAGTACTAAATGTTTATTGCTATTTAAAATCTTTAAACCTTTAAAACAACTACAGTTAAAGTTCACTGCACTACCTCAATACCACTCAAAGTCTTTTAAACTAGTCATATTTTTGTTGCTGAGCAATCAAACATGGCGGAGGAAGGAATGATTCAGTCTCAGCAAGGCATATTTTCTACAGCACTGATTCACTCTCCTGCTCCTGGAGGTCTCTGACGCCCAGCACATCCGTCATTTCCTCAGCTTTACTCCTTCCCACTTCCACCTACACCTCTTCACTCTCACACTCTCCTTTCTTTCACCACCCTCGAGAGGCATGAGTAAGAGAGATACAGACATTTCATCAGACGGTCAGGGGAGGAAAGGTGAACTCGAGCAGCCCACTCTGAGGGCTAAGAGCTGACATGTCTCTCCTTATTCTCTTGCCACCATCACCGAGTACGTGATGAGAAGAAAACAGCAAGAACATGTCGGTAAAAAAGGATTTATTAAGAGGGAGAGCTTTCACCCTGCAGTAACACAGAAATTAAAAGTACCACGCAGATCTCAACACATTTTTCTTGCATTTTTTTTTAAACAAGCATACTCGAGAGGCAAGACTTCAGAGAGCATGTATAATGAAGTGACATGTTGTGTGAAAATGTTCTTGCAAACCTCTCTAAACAAACATTATCCTAAAAGAACTGCACAATTAACTGAAATCAACTAAAATCATGCTATGCCTTAGTGTGATTATCAAAGTAAATGTAAATATGCAGAATGTGTTTCAGAGTGAAGCACAGCACTGTGTTCCTTTATACGGCAAGCAGCTTTACTTTATATAAGCAGCTCAAAATCTGGTGTTTTCAGTGTCTCATAGTGGCTGGGTTTGCAGCAAACAGTGCACCACATAAATTCCATCTCTGCACGTACAGCCATATATATTAGCATTGTAATTTTTTAGTTGTACTGTAAAATACTATAATAATAATAATAATAATAATAATAATAATATAATAATAATAATTATTATTTTATAGTAATATTGATATACAGTATAAATCAAATTGTGCAGCTCCACAAACAAGACCTTTTTTTTTTAAGTACTTTATTTGTAAAACTTTTTTCTTTTTCAAAAACATAACACTCCATAACATACTATATATGTATATTAATACAATATAACCAAAATAGTTACCCCATGCCACACTTCTCCCCTGCCCCCAACCCAAACATGCACCAAATATTTATGAAAGTACTCTTATCACACATCACCATCAGAAGAACCTCAGCCGGACCAAGGAAATGAAAAATGGAAAAGAAAAAGCAAAAAACAGAGGAAAAACAAGATCGAATGACACATAGCACATTAACAACATAGCAAGGACATCCTTAAGATATAGACCTGAAATATGACCAGATTTTGTCAAACATCTTTAATCTGCCCGCTCTAGAGAAGCGTATCCTTTCAAGCTTGAGGGCCGAAACCATTTCAGCTAACCATTTAAAAAAAACTTGGAGGTGACGTAGATTTCCACAAACAAACAAGTTTCACTTTTTTTTTTTTTTTAATCAGAAAAAAAATTGCAATTCGATTTATTTCCCCACATCCTGCAAACCTGGCTTGATGTGATTTACGCAATAAGTACATGTTTCTGAATCAACATTCCTTACTGGTTCTGGAACATCATCCTGCATCATCTGCAAATCATTGTCCACTGAATTCAGGGGTAGGGTGGTTGATTCAGGAACACGTCATACTTGGGTAAACCACATGGGTCACAACATAAGCTTTGCTATACCTTGTTTACATATCGAAAAAATAAGATATAATCACTGTGCCACATGAGCTCATGTTTAGGTAGGAGGGCTGAGCCCCTCGAAGACTGAAACTTTAGAATCGCCTGTGGCACACAAACACTGTTAGCAAACAGTGGTTTGCACAGAATGTAATCTGATATTGCAAATGATGAATACAGTACACATAAAAATACACAGTTTGCTGAATCTTTTCCTACCTTGAATTCCTGAAGCTGCTGTTTGATGACCTCCACTTCTGTCCCCACGACAGCCTGTGTGTTCAGCACCTCCTCTGCTCGTCCCAACAACCCTTGTAGGTCAGCTAGACGGCCGTAGAACTCCTTCACACGCTCTTCTGCTGCTTCTATGAGTGCCAGACGGTTCTGGCCCCGCTCTGCTAGCTTGCCTGCCTGTCTGCTCAGGGCTTCTGTCTCTCTCCTGAGGGCCAGAAGATCAGGTGAGCTCCCCTCTCTACGGAGCATAGTCGTGCATTCTCCACCATGACTCTCCAGCTCGACACGGAGGGCATCGAGTCGACTCAGGAAGCCCCTGACAGCATCAGCCTGTGAGGCCAAGGAGTCAGCATCCCGCCCCACAGGGCTAAGGCTGTCCAACTCATCGTCCAAATCAGCCAGGCGGGAGAAAACATCTCGAACATGTGACTGGACCTCTCCCACACCTTGCAACCGGGACTCCAAGGATGAGCAGCATTGCTCAGTCTGTGGGGGAAAGAGAAGGGACACATGCAGGTAAATGAAGCTGAAATTGTGGGTCATTCCTATGCAGCAGACCAATCATGTTTCTAAATATACTGGATAAACATATGAATATAATAAGTAATAATATTTCATAATATGACTATATTAATATATTTAAAAATGAATATGAATAGATTTTAATAATTTCACTGTTTAAGCACATATTGTCATTTTGGTCGCATCCCTGAGTGCTTTTAACATAAAGCACTGTCAGTTTACCAAAAAATGCTCAAACATTCCTTAGATGTTTCTAACATATGTTCCTGGGAAGAGACTTTAAAATAAAAATATAGGTTATTTCCATTTCTGAAATTTCACTTTCCATCCTGTCAGACTGTAATGTCCCCTTAACTAACTAAATGCAGTTCCTCAATTACAACATCCTTCAGGCAGTGACATTATTTTCATGAAAAACTGTACTAACAAAGTTTTAGTAATGGATTTGATACATTTTCTGGTGTTTTTGGTGTTATTTGGTTTCTCAGTTTAAAAATTAATAATCCTGTTTTATAACATTGCGGAAATCGATAGGAAGTTTTAAAAGATGAATAAGTGATATCAAAATTAATTTCTAGTTGATGTGGCTGACTTGCAATCCCTCAATAAGCGACAGATAACTTTATTATTAAGTTATTTCTATACTTAGAGGTTTTATCCGAAAATTTTTTTTGCTGTTATGTAAATACTTTTGTAAAAAAATTACAATAAAATGTTCGGTGTCTGAGCTTGACCACAGCATATTTCTGAAAGTCTGCTAAACACATTTATAGAAATACTGTACACTTACAACATAAGTATATTAAACGTTCAAAATGCACTGCATAGAAATGCAGTACTGTGCAAACTTTATATTTTAATCTTAAAACTTTTGACTACAAATCATGAATACAAGCTATTAAAAATGAACAAGACAAATCTAGACCAACAGCCAGAAAAAGACTGTGTCTTATTTCAGCAAACACGACATGAGCGCAGACATAAACTACAAATCAGGTTATATATAACATCCCAACTACCGCCTCAGTCCTGACACATTCCAGAGGCTCCTGATCATGTGCAGATTCTCTCACCTTCTCAGTAACTTCTTCAAACTCTTTTTCTGTATCACGAGCTTGCTGCAGCAGCCTCTGGCCGCTATCTTCGCCGGCCCTGGAGATCTCGGGCGCATCCTGGAGCAGCCCCTGAGCCAGATTTCGTAGGTACACCACCTGTGGCTGTACAGAGTTTAACAGTTCCTGTTGGCTGCGCAGACGCTCCAGGCTTTTGTTGCTACAAGCTTGCGGCCCAAGCGCCTCCTGAACCTCGATCTGATGCTTGGCTGCCTCGAGTCTTCTCTCCACAGCCAGTCTCCCATCTTCAAACTCCTTCAGTCTGCTTCCCAACTCTTCTAGCTGAGCCGTGCGGCCCTGTAGTCGCTCAGAGAGACCGTCTATCCTGCGATTAAGCTGGGCTTTTTCATCCCTCACTTCCTCTTCACCAGCGCAGCTCTGTTCCAGCAGCTGATCTGCTGCCGTGTTCAGAGAATCTAAGAGAGGGCGACGACGATCCAAGTCCACACTTAACTGTCTAGCCTTTTGCAAAGCCTCGTCTAAGGTGGCGGGATCCAGTGATGGGTGGATCTCCGCCTCCCTTTCCTCACATTCTGCAACCCAAGGTACAAGCTCATTGTGATGTTGTTGGTACAGCTCAGCACAGGACAGCATCTCTTTTATTCGACTGTGTTTATTAGAGGTTTGTCGGTTCATGCCCTCCCAGTCTTGCCGTAAGATGTTTAGTCGAGTCTGTAGGGCTAATCGCTCATCTCCAGTGGGGAGGGATGCCAGTAGAGATGCCCCCTCGGCCTGGATGAGCTCATAGGACCCACGTTGTTGTGCTATGGCTCGCTGGAGATCCTCTTGTTGGGCCAGAAGGGTCTTTAGAGCATCAGGTTGGCAAGGAAGGGCTTCAGAAACCCCAGCTGTGTAATTCCCAGCCTGCCCATCCAACCAGCCACGAAGCTCGTCAAACATCTGCTGGAACTGTTGAGTGCTGGACAGGGCGGCCTGCAGCTGGGACAAGCCATCAGCTGAAAGACAGCAGTAAGGGTGGTGGTTACTATTATGTACATGCATACAGTAGGCGAACAATATTGGGTAAAAACTGACTTTGCCGTATTTTGTTTTTCTGTGATATACACTGCGAAATAAAAAGACACAGGAGTTTTGACGAGTAGAATTAATACATTTTTTGGAGAGTGCATCTGCATAAAAAAATAAGTAAAGTGACAAAAATGGTATTTTACTGTATATTTATGTCTTAATTTCTTCATTTCCAAACTGCAAACTGTTACTCACCAGCCCGTTCTTCTAGGTTTTTGAGGGGGCTGCTCACACTCTCCAGTCTCTTGTGTAACTCATCTCTGAGATACGGTTCGGCCACAATTGTGCTGAGCTCCGCACACAGCTGCTCAGCCTGGGCCAGTTGACCTCGTCTCTGTTCCAGCTCAGCACGGATCTCCCCAGTTTCCTGAAGCCTACAGCGCAGGGCTTCAGGCTGAGCGCTTAGAGAGGCCTGCGCATCCAGCCTCTCGCTTAGATCGACCACACTCTGAGACAGCTCTCTGAGCAGGGCCAGGTAGCGCTCACTGGTTCCCTGCGCCTGGTCGATCTGCTGCGAGCGGCCGGTGAGACGAGAGGTGAGGTCTTCCCACTGCTGTGAAACGTCTGCCAGCTCCTGCCTCACCTCCTCTAGGTCCTGTCCATCTCTAGAACCCTCATCTCCAGACGGGGAGAGGATTCCCTCTGCCGCTCGAGACAGCTGGTCAAACTGGGGTTGCCGTGTCTCAAACTCACGTAGCATGAACTGACGGGATAAAGAAAAAAAAATTTAAAGTGATTTTGGTGAAGCTAAGTTTTGAGAACAATTAGATTTTTCAATTTGACATTTTATTTTTTTTAATGAAAATCTGAGGCATGATGTTAAAACCAGTTAAACTCTGCAGACCCGGATACGGGTCCAAAATCGCTTAAAAATGTTTATGCTTCATTTACATAGCCTTCCTTATATGGTATCAGCCCATATATGGGTTCATTTGAAAGCTTGGAGTGTCTTCTTTACAAAGAATACCATTCCTTTTGGTTTTTATATTCATAAAGCAGTAAAATTAAGCTTAGAAATGTATTCATCCCACACACGAATTTCCGCCTAACCATTGCGAATAATTTTTACGAAGAATGTGTATTTTATATATTTTTCACAAAAAAGTCAAGTCATATATCACAAGAAAGCTCTCATTCTCAGGAATTTGACGATGTAGATTATTTCATTGTGTGACAATCACAGATCGAATGATCTTCGATAGAATCGCGATGTAAAATTTTGTCACCTCTGAGCGAATTTACATTTATACTCGTAGCACTGCTTCAGTCAGCCACAAACAGCCACAAATATCTATATACTCTATATTATCTTTTAGATTAGGATCTCTTCTTTCAAACAAGACCATTTTCACGTTTCTGCGTGCTTCCATCGGTGAGATATATAGCGTTTTGTCCAGATTGCGCAATAGACGCGCTTCTGCCAGAGACGCGCTCTCCATATCATAAGTGCGCATGGAATGATATAAAGCTGGAGGATATGGATTCTATTTTAGATTGTGATAGACCAGATATATTTTATAATGTAGACTAGGGCTGCACGATAAATCGCATACGATATTTAATAGCCCTAATGTAGACAGTCTTGTGCATCCTGAAATAATTAAACATTGTTTTTTTTTCATTTCCTCCATTGTATGTGTGTAGGGTAAACATTTGAATTTGAGTATGTCAAATTTAGGCGAAAATACCCAAAAACGCCCTGAGCATAAGTTTAATTACTATTTTTTTTGTAGAAAAAGCAAGAAGATTAGTTTACCTGCACTTGCTGTTTCTGTGTGTTGAGCATGTTGGGGTCGATACTCAGTGGGCCTAATACGCTCATCATCAGCTCTTTCTCTCGTAGCCATGGTCCTAGCTGACTGGCTGCTGCAGCAAAACTACCCAGCCTATCAGCACACGCTTCCAATTCAGTCTGCCTCTGTGCTGCAGTCTGATTGGCTTTCGTCCACCGTGAGTCTAGGAGAGAGAGCAATATCCTGCATCTGAATGTATTAATAAATATACTAAAACACAATAGATTAAAAAAATGCATGCACAGGTTGCACTTTGACAACTTTGATCACTTTGATATTTGATTTGAAGGTCAGAGCTTTTCTTGGAGCATACATTATTTTCAGCCTTCCATTTCCTGCACCCAACTCTCGCCTTGTGACCAGCAAATTAATATTAATGTACTATTCTGTTGTTATAGTTAGTTATTGGTACCGGGACAAGTTCATTAAATGAAAATTAACTTAAAACACATTACTGACCTATGTCTTCAAGCTGACGTTTCCAAGTCTCAGCTTCAGGAGAATCAGGATGATCTGTTATTAGCTGATTGAGAATGTTTTTTAGATCCTCCACTTTCCCAGAATGGTCGGCAAGCTCAGTAAGTAAAACCTGGACACAGGTGCCTGTCTGTCAGATGTCTGTCACAATGTAATGGAATGATGGCTAGGGCTACTGTTTTAAGGGGTCATGAACTGAGAAATCAAAATTCCCTTGATCTTTTGACATATAAGAGGTCATTGTACTGTACTATAAAAACATCCTGTAAGTTTCAGAACTCAAAACTCTGCCAAATCGACAGCTTTTGGAATGTTCTACTCTATGATATAATACTGTAGATAAGCACCGCCTTCGCAGAAGAAGATCGACATCACTGCCTGTTTAGCCCCACCCACCTATTCACGCATGTAGCCTAGTGTTTACGAGAGGCGAACGCGCAGGTCTACGCAGAAACCAAACGATAAAGATGGCTCTGAAGACAACAAGATGCTGTGTTGGAAAAGAAAGAGGAAAGAGTGGATGAACTTTATTTTTAATGAAGATCCAGACCACGTCAGTAAGAACTCTGTCTTTTTGTTCACTTCATTTTACCGCAGATTCATTTACAAACAAGGCACAATTTGACGCGAGATTTTCAAAAAGATTGAAACTAAAAGACAATGCTGTACCGACTATATTGGATCCAACAGTCATGTCGCAACACACAAGTGTGAGTAACTGTTTTTATTACGTGATCACTATTGATTTGTCTGTTAAATAGATAATTTGATATGTACTGAGTATTTATGCGTTTTTAACCTAAATCACAGCAGCGTCCATCTGTGAAGTGACATAGAATGTCAAACATACACAAGCCAATCATAGCAGTGCAGTGGGCGTTTACTTCCCAGTCTACAATCCGCCACGCCTATTCAAACAGAGCGTTCTGAAGAGGGGGAGGGGGAGGTATGTCAAAAACAGGACAGAAAATAGCCTATTATTCCCCTAGGGGGACAAAATTATGATGTTTTTTTATGTAAAAATCTTGATAACATTATAAGTGGACCTCAGAGAAAAGTACAAAATAAAAACAGAGGCAGTTCATGACCCCTTTAATAATCCTTTAGAGCAGTGTTTCCCAACATTTCTTTAGTCGCGGCACCCTTTGGAAATTGTAACAAATTTGTGGCACCCTACAAAATTAATTTTGTCACAATATTTGAATTTCTAACTTCGATATGATACTTTGAAAAGTATAGATATTCGGTACAACAGGGAAGAACTGCAGAATATAATGTCATACAGATATTTTCAGTATTATAAAAAAATTTTGTCCATAAATGGTGGCAATCAGTAGGCTAATTTCTAATGAAAAGACCAATTTATATGACAGATTCTAATGTAGGCTTTTATTTATATGTAAACATTGTGAGATAGCTAGTTGTAATGGTAATTAAACAAAGTTTTGCTCACTCAATGTATTTTTGATTTTACAGTTGGGTAATTTTGTTGCAGTAGCACGAGATTTAAAACTTTGAATTGAATACAAAATGACAAGGAGGCTAAGCAGTTAATAATAAAATAAGAACAAATAAAGAAATGAATAATGATAGCACAAATAAAAAATAACAACAGGCCTTCGAATTAAATAAATTGCGTTTTAGTTTTTCAGGTAGGTCTAACAGTAGGGTTAAGATATTTAACTTTTTTTTTTTTTTGAGAAAAGTACAAAATAAAAACAGAGGCAGTTCATGACCCCTTTAATAATCCTTTAGAGCAGTGTTTCCCAACATTTCTTTAGTCGCGGCACCCTTTGGAAATTGTAACAAATTTGTGGCACCCTACAAAATTAATTTTGTCACAATATTTGAATTTCTAACTTCGATATGATAATTTGAAAAGTATAGATATTCGGTACAACAGGGAAGAACTGCAGAATATAATGTCATACAGATATTTTTAATATTATAAAAAAAATGTGTCTATCAATGGTGGCAATCAGTAAGCTAATTTCTAATGAAGAGACCAATTTATATGACAGATTTTAATGTAGGCTTTTATTTATATGTAAACATTGTGAGATAGCTAGTTGTAATGGTAATTAAACAAAGTTTTGCTCACTCAATGTATTTTTGATTTTACAGTTGGGTAATTTTGTTGCAGTAGCACGAGATTTAAAACTTTGAATTGAATACAAAATGACAAGGAGGCTAAGCAGTTAATAATAAAATAAGAACAAACAAAGAAATTACTAATGATAGCACAAATAAAAAATAACGATAGGCATACAAATGAAATAAATTGCTTTTTAGTTTTTCAGATGCAAACAGAAACAATACTGTACTACATAGATGTTTCCTGTCAGCTCGATTTTTGAGTGGACTTTGCTGTTCCGATGAGCATGAACGGTATACGAGTGGAGCACTCACATGGGCCGTGAGCGACTGAGCGGAGCACACACACGCATAGAGCGGGATAATACACAGAGCGTCACACCACGTGAAAGTGAAACCTGAGCGGTGAACTAATTTTCGGCAGCCGGAATTTCAGTGCATCTCTAATTATTGGCGACATCAGAAATGGATATTATATAATAGCTGCTTTTTTGAACATTTTAGCAATTTCAAAATGTTAAAAAATAATTTTTTACACGGCACCCCTGCTCTCGACAGACGGCACCCTGGTTGGCAAACACTGCTTTAGAGAACTATGGGATAACATTAAAGACAAAACTAAGTTACAGAAAATGAATTGCCTGATTACAGATAAACTATTTCATATATATTCTGTGGGGGCCTGTAGTTTGAGACCCCTGTTACAGATGTATTCAATTCTCTCAAAATGTTACCTTGGTTTCTTGGGCTTGAGCACGCACCGCCTCTGGCCGAGAAGGTGAGGCGGTCTGCCCTTGTGCCAGGCTCTCTTCACGGGGCCCCAGCCACTGGATGAGTACCTCAGAGCCCTGCCTGGCCTTCTGCCGCAGGTCAAGAGAGGCCTCTTGCCTACCCTTCCTTTCCCTCATGTCACTGCCCAGCTGCTCATACTTGCAGTTCACATCTGCCACTGCCACCTGGATCTCAGTCAAGTCTGAGGGTAAGAGTGAAGAAATGTTGAGGTAAGTACAGTCACAGCAGCCCGATGACAAGGCCACATAATTATAAAACTGCATCATGTTTGTGCTATTTTTCAAGCAGTGATATACTGTATAAGCTGAGGGTTAGAATTTGACTGTAGTAAAATCCATTCAGCTGTGAAGAACAAAATATGGAGCTCTGCACATGATATGCGGAACATAATATATTTATTGTGGCCACAAATTAAGAATATGCTCCACGACTTGTCGTGTGGACATGTTTTATTAATTCATGCCCTTGTTTTATTTAAATCAAGGACATGATTGATTAATTAGTTCCTTTGTTTTAGGTAAATCATTGCCACATTGTACTAATTTGTTTCCTTGTTTTGATTTATTTAATTTAGTTAATAAAAATAAGAAAACAAATTAGTACAATGTGGCCACAGTTTTCCTAAAAAGAGGGAAAAAATGAGTAAGCTGTTGGAACAAATTCTTAAATTCAGTATTGGTTTCCATTGTAGTGCATCAACAAAACTGCAATAGTAGTAATGTAATATAATAAGTAATGTCATGTATTTTTGCGTTTTGGGTTTTTTTTTATGGAACTTCACACATATATATGTGTGTGTGTGTGTGTATATATATATATATATACACACACACATGCCATGACTCATGTGTGAAGTTCCATAAAAAAAAACCCAAAACGCAAAAATACATGACATTACTTATTATATTACATTACTACTATTGCAGTTTTGTTGATGCACTACAATGGAAACCAATACATTGGATATTGACAACAATGACCTGACAAACTGATTACTTGCAAAATGTGAACAGTGTCAACAGTCCTCAGCTTTATGTACACTGTCAGTGTGAAAGAAAGCCTAAATGATTGGACACATTGGTCATATGCACAAAGACAGATGACACTAATCTGCACTTACTCTGAGAGCAAACTAACAGAACAGGACAAGAAGCAATGCAAAGAAAAATAAGGAGAGTGAGTAAAAGGGTGAAGAGGAAGAGAAATGAGAGGGGAAAACAAATGGAAATGTCTAATAGAGAAAAGCTTCCAGTGATGAGGATGCTGCACAGCTCACTGGCTAAAGGTGTGGAGGAAGCTCACCTTTACAGGTGTGAATGCCATTAACACTGTTGGGGCTGGAAGCACCATTGAGCTGGGAAACACCTGGGAGAAAGACACACAGACACGCGCTCAGACAACGCCACAATAATTCACAGGCATGCTGGCGCAGCACACACATACACAAGCAGCTAGACATACTCAACACAGGATTTAGACACAGAGACACATATACAAACATAATATGCTGAAAATTAGTAGTTTGGAAGGTGGCAGATGCTTAAAGGGACAGTTCACTCAAAAACTCTCCCTCATGTCATTCCAAACCAGTATGACTTTGGAAGTACAAAAGGAGAAAATTTTAATAATGTACCAGTTGCTCTTTTCAATGTAGTAACAAAATTCATTGGAAAAGGGTGCAAAAGCACCATAAAACTGTTTTAATCAGGAACACAAATCAAGCGTTTTTGCTCATGCTTCATATATATTCTAGTAGGGCACTCTTAGTAGGGAAAGTCTTACTAGTTTTGAATGACATGAAGATGAGTAAATGATGACAGTTTCCATTTTTGAGTGAATTATTCTCTAAAAGTAGTGATTTGGAGTCCAAATATATTCATAGTAGAAACATGAAGTACTAGCTACAGAAAAAAAGGAGCCCTGGCCCTGAACCTCCACGATGTTGTTTTGCCTACCAGTCTTGTTCTTGGGAGATGTGATGTTAATAATCAAGTTCTCCAGTTGTGAACTGGTCTTGTTCAACTCCTGAACGTGGCTTCCTTGGGTCTCCCATTCTGTGAGTAGATCCTACAAGTAAATTCGTGAGACGTGTTAATTACAGCTCACCTCACTAAAAACAGAAACTGATGTCAGAACTCTGTAAATAGAGAGAACTGCAGCCCTACTTTAAGCTGCTGTGCTCTTCTCTGCAGGCTTTCTGTGCTTAGGTTGGGCTCTTTGGCAGGAAGTTGTTCTTGTACTGTCTGCAGCCACCTGAGGAGGGAGCCAGAGCGAGAGCGGAACTCTGCCAGTTGCTGGACGCAGCTCTGGATAGAATCAAATCTGTGAAGGACACAGGAAAAAGTCAGATGAATATCAACAAAAAAATATTCAATTTTGTTAATGGTAACACAATGCTGGCTCCAATGAGGCAACTTACTTAGTGTAAAATAAAACAGCTTTTGTACTCAGTTTTCAAATGAATTATTCCTTTCTTAGTTTAAAATGTTTTAATGAGGTAAAAATTCAGAGTACCTATCTAAACCACCAGAAGAGAAAAATCTCTTGTAAAAGGACACAACCAGACATCTTTGACCTCCTATTAATATGTCAACACTGTATGCTACTATTTTAGGTCATGGTGATAGATCAGGACAATGCGTGCAATACTAACCAGAGCCAGACTCCACTCCAGACTCTTAATGTGGACAGCATGCCTCTCTACCATTGTTAGCAGCAGTTAGGTCAGAAGCCATGTCCCAACATGTTACCCTTTACATTCAGTTTATACTACAATAATCCCCCTTCCCACTCACAAGTATTCCTAGAGATATGTGGAGTGGATTTAGACTTGAACACATGACCGACTGTTTTATGAGCCGTCTCCGAGGACATCTGACATGCTTGGAGCCCCAGTCTGGCATCTTAAGGAGGGATGTGGCCAAATGGTTTCCATAACGCCGGATACAGTGGTGTCAAACTGGGTTAGCATGATGCTATTTTTTTATGGCGCAGAGTATTCTGACCCTGTCCATACTGTCTTTATTTTTGTCACATGTCAAATGTCAAAGCAATTAGAGTTGGCAGGGCATCACATTTCAAGATGAAACTATGACACACAGAATAGCTTAGAACAGACTAACTATTCTACTCATGACTGTAACTGCCATAGACATTAAGGGGGACAATATTACAATATCCTGAATATTTCATTACAGCTATAATTCTTTTTCCAGTCTGGAGAAAGAAGTTAAATGTGGAAGACAGGGTTGTTATTATTGCTAGCTAAAACTATTTCAAACATTTTGTCAACTGAATGATAAAGTTGAAATAAAATTATAAAAAAAAAAATGTATTAAACTAAATAAAAATTAGATGTTGCTTTGGCAACTAATTGAAATAAATTTAAAATATGTTGAAGAATTACATTCACTAAACTGAAAAAATAAAAATAAAACCTTTCCCTAATTATTATTATTTAAAATGACAAAAGCACATAACACTACTAAAAAATAACTAAAAATTAAAATGCTGAAAATATAAAAATAAAAGCTAATTCAAAATATGAATAATAATTATAATCATACAAAAAACAATACTAAAATAACACTGGTTTAATAAATTTTTTCACAACTCTTTCCACTGACCTCTCATTGACATTGGATTCCAAGCGTGCAAAGTCCTCAGAAACCTCTTTGGTTGTGTCCCGAAGGCTTTGTGCATTGGCAAGGATCCCAGACTTGCTTAGGTCTGAACCAAGCTCAACAAATGACTTTAATTGACTTGACTCTTGGGTAATTTCTGATCTCACCTCCTTTAATGGAAAAGACAGAAATGATGACAATGATCGGACATCAGCCAATAAACATGTAATCTTTCAGAAAGTACGTAAATCTGTGGCCAAAGATGTCAAAAACCTAATTCTCTAACCTCTATGGTCTGTTTGTAGTCATCCACGCTGCAGTCAGGTTGGCCTACTGGGCTGAGAGCCCTTTCTCGACTCTGCGTAAAGCTGCGGAGGTCTGCACTCTGGCGCTCAAAGCTCTCCAACTTGGGCAAAAGTCCCCGCAACTCAGTCTCTCTTTCAGTCTGTTTCGCCTGGGCCGCTGTGTAGCGCTGACTCAAGTCCTGTAGTGCCCCCTGCAGGCCAGACGCTGTCGATGCATCTGCAGACTTCAGAAGCTTGGACACAGAGTCCAGGGTTGCATCCACACTGCCCTGCCTTGAAAGCAGTTCCTGACGTATTTTCTGAGGGGGAAGTGCCATGTTTGAAGAAAACATAATTCCTGGTTAAGGAAAGTTTTTAATTATGTCTTATACTGATGATCGTGATGGTACGTTTAACAAAATACCTGATTTTGTGTCAGGGCATCCTGAACTGCTTGAGCAGTGGGCTGGACTGTGCCAGGTGATAAAGGAAGTCCATCTAACCATGCCAGCAGTGCTTTAAGTCCCTCCTGAATGCTGACTGATTGGGCAACAGCGGTTTGAAGCTGTTCAGCTCTCACTGACACTGAATTAGACAGGGTTTCAAAGCGCTTCTCCAGAGCATCTGAAATTACCAAGAGGAAGTTTAAAATATAGGGATAATATCAAAAATATTATTAGCACAAAATTAATTCTAGATCATGTATTGTATTACTTTTAAGAGGTTATTTTGAGATAATGACTATAAGTGACACTATCAATCCAAATAAAATGCTTGACATCACAGTGCCTTGATTGACCAGTCAACAAATATTCTAGATACAGATAGTTGTGAAAAATGCCACTGGTTGAGCCAATGTTGCCATGTTGGGTTGAATGCTCAAAAAGACAAACTGTTGTTTAAAATGTTGGGGACAAATATTTCTATTTCAAATAAATGATGCTCTTTTAAACTTTCTATTCATCAAGAACTCCTAAGGAAAAACAATGTATCACGGTTTCTAAAAAACAATATTAAGCAGCACAGCTGTTTTCAACACTAATAACAATACAAATTGTTTCTTGAGCCCAAAATCAGCATATTACAATGATTTCTGAAGGATCATGTGACACTGAAAACTAGAGTAATGGCTGCTGAAAATTCAACTTTTCCATCTCAAAAATAAAACATTTTAAAACATATTAAAATAGAAAAGTTATTCTGAACTGTACTAATATTATTTAACGATTTTTTGATCAAATAAATGCAGCCTTGGTGAGCATAAGAGACTTCTTTCAAAAACATCTAAAAAAGTTTTCAACGACAGTGCATGTCCATACTTGCATGGTGGAATGAACCTACAAAATGACACTCTTTCAACTAAGTTATCTGCTGATATTGAGAATGAAATTACCTGTAAGATTGTTAATATCTGCATTTTTGAGAGTTGGGGACTCCTGAGTGCTGACCAGCTCTTTACCTGCCCTCTTGACTTTCTCAAGCTGTACCGAATGCTCTGCCAACTCATCCTGCAACAGCTGAGAGAAGACAGCAGAAGAAAGAAAAAGGTGATTAATTATGATGATTCCTAAGAGTATGGAAACTACATTTTGCTTAGGTGATCATTTCCATTAGTTTATCCATCCAGTAACGTTGTTTCTAAGCTTTCCTCAAATATTTTAGCCAGAAAAGCATTAATAATCCAACCTGTACAGTACTGAGAGTATGCTGCAATGTCTGAGTGTCCGTTTGCTCTCGGCTGGGTTTAAATACACTCTGATTTTGCTCCTGAGTGCTCAACCAGGAGCCTAAAGAACCAGCCTCATCTTGGTAGTGTTGGAATCGCTCCAGGAGACCTGAGAGACGGGTGCCAAGTTCTGAGGACTGAAAGAATGAACACACAAGAGTCAGTATGTCTTCAGCCCATTGTTGACTGAAAGAATACAAAGCTGTTTTGTTCCCACCTTGCTGTGTAATGAACTGTAGCGCTGTGTGGCATCTTGGAGCTTGACACTCACTAGGTGTCTGGTTTCCTCCAGAGCTGGATCCGTACTGCCCACCTTCTCCAAGGCCCCCTGGACAGAATCCAGAACCTTCTGACCAGAGATTGTCACAAAGCGTAGATCAGCTTTGTGACAGATGACGTCTTCTGCAAGCTGTATAATACAGAGAAACACATTCTAGGTATTTTACTTTCTCCACAAAGTAAATGTATTATGTTAGACATCACCATATTTTGATACCTTTTTGTGCTCCTCTATCCTGTCTTTTAGACCCTTTGCATCAGTTTCCCCTTCCCCGAGTGTACGTAGTTCTTGTTCACTCTGATCCAACCACGTCCCCAGGTTCCCATGCTCCTGCACAAACTTGGCAAACTCATCTCTGAGGGCATCTGTCTGCCTGAGCCTGTCCTGACAGTTCTGAAGGCGCTCCTGATGCTGACTCTGTAGTTGGTCTAGTTTTGCCCGTAAGCGTTGTTTCTCCCCTGGTGGCACACTGGAGTCAGGTTGTTCCAGGAGAGAGCGGACAGACTGGGCCACCTGCTGAAGGTGAGCCTGTTGAGCTTGTAACTGTTGCAGCTCAGTCTGGTGGAATCAACAAAATGCAAAATGTCAAAAGGCAGAACTGAATTGAGTTGCCATATTGGTAAAACTGATAATGATCAACATCTACTTAAGAATCTGACCTGAAGCATGTCACTGTGAGAATTCAGAGCATTCTCTGGTGGTCCAGATGATGGTGTGTCAGTGACAGTGTTGCCAAGTGACCTCCTCTTTGAGTCATCCAGTGATGCCAATTCTCTGAGAAGTGTGTCTATTTTTTCCTGTGTCTCCTGCATCTGCTCTTCTGCTTTAGCCTTGGGCAGAAGGAAAATACGATAATGATTAAAACAATGAATAACAAATGCTGACAAATTAAAGAGAACAAAATGTGAACTGCTTACTTTTTGTGTGTTCTGCTGCACTGTTGTGACAATGGCAGTGTCTACTTTAGCTAGTGAAGAGCGGACTGAGTTTGTAAGTGAGCTGTGCTGTTCTTTCATTTGTGAAAGAGTCCCCTGTAGTTTGGCCATCTCTTCAGGACTCAAACTATCACCCCGATCGGACAGGAACTCCTCCACTGAGCGTATAGTCTCAGTCAACAAGTCACTTTTGGTCTGAAGGTCCTTCTCCACCTCCTATAGTTATGGGGTAAAAACAAACAAACAAACAATTAACCAAACATTAGAAGTAATGTCTTATGTAAGACATTGTGTAATAAAGCTGCATTAAGTAAATGTCAGATGTGTCTCTTTATCGCACCTTCAGCTCTCTTTGCTTCTGCTGTAACTCGTTCACATCATCGGACTCAGTTCCAACTCTCTGACTGGCCAGGAGGCTGGCAGCACCAGCCAACCACATAGTGAGATTCTCCAGTTTTTGAGAGCATTCTGACTTCTGCTGCTGCACAACCTACATCCACGGTAAGAAAGGAGGTAAAAACAGTGATAAAGATTTGCATGTGATCAATTATAATCATAATTCTCCTAAACTTCTATGTATTCATCATATTATTCTTTTTACCCCACCAAACTCTCACACTTGCCAGATTTCACACAAAGTAAACAACGTACACTGGTTGAGCATGATGTGTCCAAACATAAAAAAAAAAAAAAAAAAACAGGCCAGTGAAGCAGAAACATAACATACAAAGACCTTAGGACAAATAACAGAACTCAGCTAGATATTTTCTTCTTTTACTAAAAAGAAAGGTTAAAAAACAAGCAAGCTATAAAATGAGGCTACATTTAAATCTTTAGTGCTTTCCAAATGTGTCTTCTGTGGCAATCTGTAAGAGCAAGGCAGACAGGTTAATATACATGTTATGTTCATTAATGCAGCTAGCACACTCAAGTTTGAAATGCAGGTGGCTGTATAACAGAGCACAACAATAAGGAATTCTATTGATTTAAGGTAATGTTATCTAGCTGGATAACATACATGAGTGTTTGTCAAAACTGTGACTTGTGATAGTGTTGAAAGCATCAGTTGAGAATTATATACACTCCAAAATATAACATAAAACATATGTACAGTCTGTACAGCATAGCTGCACATTTTCAATACATTATAGCTGTAAAATTTTATTAATTATATTATAAATTATATTAATTTATAAATAAACATGATATAAAAATGTATTTAAAAAATAAATGTTTTAGGCATTAGACTTTAGTGTAAGACAACTAAAATCTAAACTAAGGCTTGACTTGGCCAGCAGACAGAAGTCGTTATTGTTGATTCCTGCAGAAGCATTACTGAAACAACAGATCAGTATTATAGTGCTGTAAAATTAACCGAATAAGTAGATCATACTGTTACATGCATGTGAACATTATTTTCATTTTTTAAATGCAGCATTCATGCTAATAAGTATTCATGCATGCATCAGTAGTGTGGTTAACTGTTACCACAAATGTTCTGTTCTTAATGCATTAAAAGTTTTCCTTTATCGCAGTTGAATGATTGTGAGTCTGTTGAAAGCAAAATTGAATATTCTTGTTTTTAATTTGGCAGCACAAGCATTTATTCATCTGTTTGCAAACCTCTCTATCCCTTGTAGTTTGTTTCTCTTTTTCCATTTTCTCTTCTTTTTCTTTCTGTTCTTTCCTCATTCGTTCATTCTCTCTCGCCTGCTGGGCTGATAGTGCCTCTGCCCTGGCATGATTGAGACCAACAGCCTGGTGAAAGACCCTCTGTAGCTGCTCCAGCTGTCCAAGGAGATGCCTGCTCTGATCAGGCAACAGGTCCTGAGCATGCTCGGAGATAAACACTTGAATATTGAACACCACATTGCTGACTTCATTGGATCGGGCAGCGAGGGAGTTCTGCAACATCTGTAAGGAGAAAAAAAGAATGACTGTGAAAAAGATGCCATCACTGTAACTACAAATGTAAATATGTGTCCTGTAAAAGCTAGATAGGATATCATCACTGTTGATGTCTTACCTCGCACAACTGTTGCTTACGAGTGATCTCGGCCACCGTTTGTCCATCTACCTCTGTTTCTTCCTGCATTTGCGTCTCAGTATCTTTAAGCCAGCTAAGAAGTTTGTCAGCTTGCTCTTGTAAAGATTTCAGCTGACTGCTTACAGCTTCCTATAAAAACATATAAGTCACACAAAGAGATTTAAAATAAACTTTTCTGTCATGAAAAACAAACTCTCTAAACTAAATATCATAGGAATTTTTATTACGTTTTGTGCATCACGTTGTTCTCGTAACCCCTGCAAAGTATTCTGGGCAAGGTCCATTGCTGCACTGTAAGCCCGAGCTAAGCTTCGCCCATCTTTTTCCAGGGCTATAAGCAGCTGAGGTGGAACATCCTGAGGGTAAGACTCCAGCAGCTGTGTGGCTGCTTCAGTCTCCTTGTGCACTTCTGGTTCCAGGTCACTAATTTCCAAAAAAAGCATCTGAAAAGAGAATTAAATGAAAAAAAAACAGCATGTGTAAGCTTAAAGAACCTGTTAAATTTGCTACATATCATACATTTGCTGCAATACAAATCTTTTACCTCTATCTGTTTGATTATGTCATCAAGTGTGGAGAGACTTCGACCAACGGACTGTTGCTGCTGCTGCTTTAGGCGGACCTCAATGTGTCCCACCATAGAAAGCAAGGCCACAATCTGTTGGTCATGTTCTAAGCACTCTTGGCGAGCCAGTGAGGACTGAAAAGAAAAGGAAAAGATTAAAAAGAATCGATCTGCAGTAAACAATATACAAAAACCTCAAGAAAGATCTTCAGAACTACTGTTTACCTTGCTAGCTCTTGTAGTGTCTTTGCTTATTTGTTCAATATTCATTTGAATTTCTCCAGACTGCCTTTCCATTAAAGCCACTGCATATTCTTCCACCTCTTCTTTCTGTTTGGTATCAGACTCTGAGATCACCTCCATAAGGGGTAGACCAGAAACTTTACATTTTTGGATAGAAGGTTCATCTGTGGCTTCATAATCACTGAAAGGGGGCTCTTCGATTATTTCTTGATGAACTTCACTGCTTGCCTCTTTCACTGCTGTTTTTGTATTATGTAAAGGAGTACACACTTCACTTGATAGAAGTGCTTTGGCGTCCTTCATTACTGGGATGTCGAAGACACATTTGAGGGGTATGGATTTAGCAATTGTATGGCTGTCAGTCACTGCAGTGCTTGATGGCAAGGTCACTTCAATCATAGGGTCTATCAACTTTTCATCTGTATATAACGGCTCAATGCTTTGTTCTTCTGCTGTTCTTTCTTTGGTTTCCCCTTCTAAATTCTGGATTAGAACCAGTTCTTTTTGGTTTATGTCCACAATGTCATCAGATGTTTTCATAGATGGAATATTCTGATTCATATCATCTCCACTTAATCCCGTGTTTGTATGCTTGTCACGCTGATCTTCTTCTGGTTTTTGAAGCTGTGTTTTAGCTGAGGAGCATGGATCAATATCAGACCCAGGTAGAAGATTCTCTGCAATGTTTGGCACTGATCTTTCAACCCTTTCATTCATTTCTTGCCCCGTCTGGTGTAGTTTGTCGTCTTTCTTCTTACTTTGAGGAGGCTTAGTTCTTGTCTTCTCTACAATAGTTTCCTCTTGGGTGGTAATGCGGTATTCTTCATTACTAGCTACTTGACGCATCGCTTCTAATTCTTCAGCAGCTTGTTTTTCACTCACTCCTCGCTCAAACACCTTCCTAAGAATGCTTTCCTTAGCTTTCATCAAAAGTATTTCCTTCTGTGCCATTGCCTGATTGGCTTTCTCAAGTTGCTTCATACTTTCTTTCTCATCTGATTGATTGCTTTGAGGTTGGACCTCATGGATCACCGTCTTTTGCTCTTTCTCAGTCTCATCATCTCTTTTCTCTACACCTTCTGTTTCAACAATACACACTTGCTTAACTTTTTTACTTTTGCTTTTCTTCTTTCTCTTCTTTTCTGATACCTCTGTGCCAAGGTCCTTAGAGACCACAACAGCTTCGTGACTCTGGTCGGTTTTTGCCATGCAAGTCGTGACACTGTTCTGTGTCTTCTCTTTTTGTTTTTCATCGGTTTCATGATCAGACTCACATTTGGGGGTCTTAGTTTCATTAGCAGTTCTATCCACCCCGATTTCCAAATCTTTGCCTTGCGCAGTCTCATCACTCCCTGTCAAAGGTGCAGTGCTACCACTTCCATGGGTTGTCGCTGATTGCTGTACTTCAACCACCTTTTCTTTGTCATCTTTCATAATACGCTTTTGATTAGTGGTAAAGCCATCTTGTCCATCAACCTCTGCTTTTTCTATAGGTGAAATTCTGGCTGAGGTTTCTGAAACTTGTAGCTTTACATCACTTTCCATTTTAGCTTGCTTGCCATTTTTTCCTCTGCCTTTCTTCTTTCCTGATACCTTAACTGGCCTTGTGGTTGTAGAAGCATAAGGATCCAATCCAGTCTCTTGGCTGTCCTTGATTTTCTCTGGTTTGGACACTGACTGATCTGCTTCTAACTTGAAACTATGCCCCTCTATTTGCTCTATAGATGGGGTTTGTTCCTTGTTTTGCAAGCCATCATCGGCATCTGAGAAACTGACTTCAGAGATTGCCGGTTCACTTACTGTCTGCCTTTGGATCTCTGTCCCTCCTATTGTTTGCTCGGTAGATGGGAATTGTTCTTTGCGGTTATCACTGCTTTCTGATAAAATGGCAGTAGTAACTGCAGATACACTGACTGTCTGACTCTGGATTTCCATCTCTGTGGTGTGGTCAAGTAAAGCTGTTGAGTTCTTAACTTCCACTTTTTGCCATTTGAAATCAGACATCTCTTCAGGTTGCTCAGGGCTTTGGATTGGCTGTGATTTGATATGTTCGCTTTCTGTGGGCTTTATCTCTTTAATGGCCTGCTGAAGTCTTTTTTCTGCTTTCAAAGTAAATTCTGTCAGAACCTCCAATGATGTATTATTGCTGTCCTGCATCACGGCATCAACCAATTGTTCCTTACTTTCTAAATCAGGACTGATGTCAAAAGATTCAAGCTCCTCTTTTTTCCAAAGATCTGCATCTTTTATTTCAGTCTCTGTAAGATGTGATGGTATACTCAATAGACCTTTCTCAAGTGACATTTTATTAGGACTGACATGGTCAGATATCATCTCAGGAACAAAAGAACTAGAAGTTCCTTTCGTTGAGGAGGCTGATATTTTAGAACTTTTCTTCTCATCTTCATCTACAAGGCCCATGCTGTGTTGAAGTTCTGCAGCCATTTCAGTAGAAATAAGCCCATATTCAATCGCCTCAGTAATGCTGGAGACCTTCTGTCCACTGGCTGGATTGAGCAACCCCCCTTTCAAGAGTTGATTTGTAGCAATACATTTAGCCATGTCTTTATCAACTAAGCATTTATTTATAGCCTCCAGAAGAGGCAAACGCTCTCCACTGTAAATGTTAATGATACCCCCTGTATCTGCTTGACTCTGCAATATTCTCACTGCTGGTATGGGATCTATTTGGCCTGCCTTAATTGCCTGTGGTAAGGCCATCATTTCATCAGTTTGTTTATGAGGAACTCCCCTGAAAGGTCTCACTTCAAGGAATCTCTGTCGTGTCTCAATGTCAATTTTACCCTGGTTTATCAGCTCAGAGTAGGACACAATACAAGCTTTATGAGGATCCAACAATCCACTTTTCACGTTGGATGAGTCCATAGCTTTATTTGCTGTTTCTTCACCTAGGAGGCCTTTAGAAACAGCCTCACTCAGAGTAATCCTGCTTTTTGATGCATCATCATAAATAGAACCTGTAGAGGCCTGAAGATGTGAAGTGTTTTGATCCAAACTACTTGGTTCTTGGCCTTTGAATGCCTTTTCAAGTTCCATCAACTTTGGAGCAACTGTGTGATCTATGAGACCCAGTTGTAGAGCATCCACAACAGCAAGGCGAACACCACAGCCAGGATGCACAATGCCACCTTCTGCAACCTGCTGGCATAAAATCGTCTGAGCCTCATCCTGTCCAATTAACCCAGTTTGAAGGGCTTGTTCCAGTGGGACAGCCCTTTTGGTTTTTGGGTCCACCACTCCTTTCATTTGTAACTGTAGCGCCAACTTGGTTTGCACTGCATTTGGATCTGAACATTTTCCCCGGCATGACTTTTCCAGTGCAAGAAGCTTCTCCTTTCTACCATCTTCAATCAGCCCAAGGTTGGCTGCAAGGGTAACTGATAACTTCTTGTCTCTTCGTAGGTCAACTATTCCCCCTGACACAACCTGGGCTTCAAGGAGACGAGCAGCCGTATCGGAGTCCAACAGGCCTGCCTCAGCAGCATCCTTTATTGAGCAGTGCCGACCATGCTCCACATCAATCACACCGACTAAAATCTTTTCTGAATGAAGCACACAGGCCATCAAGTCCTCATCCAACAGGCCTTCTTGCATCACATCCTCAACACTAAGTGACTTACAGGCATTAATATCCAGAAAACCACTAAAGAGACCAGCTTTTTCCATAAGCTTCATAGCAGTGTGCCCTGGAAGCAAACCCTGTGCCACAGCTTCATCCAGAATAACTTTTTGGCCACCTACAGTTACAAGACCCCTTTGTTGCAGTTCCAAAGCCATACTCTCAAGCTTCACATCATCATCACTTAGTTCCACTGACAAAGTCTTAATTTCTGAAGGGTATAATTTCTTATCTTTACCAGGTTGTTCAAATATCCTTTTATTTTCCTTGTGTTCAACGATTTTCTTCAGTTCATCTGACTGCTTTGCTGTCTTGGCTTCATCTGGATTGATATTTAGCTGATCATATTGTCCTACATTTACAGTATCTTGATGTGAAGTAAGTGCACTGCTTTCACCCATGTCAAACATTTTTTGTTCTGTTATCTTTAGAAATACCCCACTATTATCTGCCTGTTCCAGGTCAAGTGTTTGCTTATTTTTAGATTCATTTAGTGTTGAATCTATAATTTGATTCTGAGCGGGTGTCCCGTTATCTGATATAGTCTTTGGTAGGGTTGAGCTTGTTTGAAAAGGCACTGTTAAGTTTAGGCCTTTCCTTGTTGAGGGTGCAAGATACTCCTCTGTCCTTTCTATAGTTTCACCCATATCAGTCTTCTTGCTGGCAATTTTACTTATCTTGGGTTCTTCATATTGTCCCGATGACAGAACATTCTTTTGCCAGTACTCTTCTTGTGAAGGTTCCATAAAGGTTCTTTCTGAGACTGTCAAGAGTGGAAGATCTTCCTCTGCTCTTACTTTAGTCTCACCCATTTCAGTTTCCTTCCTGTCAATTTCATCTTTTTTAATCTCAGATTCATCACATTCTCCTGACAAAATTTTATCTTGCCAAACCTCACGTGAAGGCTCCATAAAAGTTCCTTCTTTGCCTGTCAAGGGTGCAAGATCTTCTTCCTCTCTATCTATTTTCTCTCTCACATCAGCATTCTTCCAGGCAATTTTACCTTTTAAAATTGTATATTCATCACATTCTCCTGATGACAGAACTTTCTCTTGACAAACTGTATGTGAAGGCTCCATAAAAGTTCCTTCTGTGCCTGTTAAGGGTGCAAGATCTCCCTCTGCTCTTGCTATCATCGCACCCATACCAGTGTTCTTCCAGGCAATTTTACCTTTCATAATCATAGGTTCTTCATATTTTCCTGATGACAGAACTTTCTCTTGCCAAACAACTTCATGTGTAGGCTCTATAAAGGTTATTTCTGAGCCTGTTAAAGCTGCAACATCTTCCTCTGGTCTTTCTATTGTCTCACCTATGTTAGTCTTCTTGCTCACCGTTTCATCTTTTTTAATCTTGGGTTGTCCTGATGAAAGAACTTTCTCTTGTAAATTGACTTTATTTAATGGCTCCATAAAAGCTTTGCCTGCATCTGTCAAGGGTGCAACATCTTCCTCTGCTCTTTCTATCATCTCACCCATACCAGTGATATTGTAGGCAATTTTACCTTTTATAATAATGGGTTCTTCATATTCTCCTGATGACAGAACATTCTCTTGCCAAACAACTTCACGTGTAGGCTCTATAAAGGTTATTTCTGAGCCTGTTAAAGCTGCAACATGCTCCCCTGGTCTTTCTTTTGTCTCACCTATGTTAGTCTCCTTGCTGGAGGTTTCAACTTTTTTAATCTTGGGTTCTTTATATTGTCCTGATGATAAAACTTTCTCTTGTAAGTTCTCTTTATGTAAAGGCACTATAACATCTCTAGCTGTGCCTGTCAAGGGTGCAAAATCTTCCTCTGCTCTTTCAACTGTCTCACCTATATCAGTGTTTGTCCAGGCAATTTTACCTTTTAAAAACGTGGGTTTTTCATGTCTTCCTGGTGACAGAACTTTCTCCTGCAAGTTCTCTTTATGTGAAGGCACTATAAAGGGTCTGTCTTTACTCGCCAAGTGTGGAACATCTTTCTCTGCCAGTTCGATACTTTCACCCACATTAGTGTTATTTCTCTCAATTTCATCTTTTTTAATCTTGGGTTCTTCACATTCTCTTGATGATAGAACTTTCTCTTGCCAAACCTCTGCATGCGAAGGCTCTATAGAAGTTCGGTCAGTGTCTGTCAAGCATGCAAGTTCTTCCCCCGCTCCTTCTATAGTCCTACCCATGTCAGTATTTCTGCTGTCAGTGTAATCTCTTTTAATCTTGGGTTCTACATAGTCTCTTGATGACAAAACCTTTTCTTGTTGAATCTCTTCATTTGAAAGCTCTGTGATGTCTGTTTCTGTCAATGGTGCTAGATCTTCTGTTCTTTCTACTGCCTCTCCTATATCAGTTATCTTGCAGGCAATTTTACCTTTTATCTTGGGTTGTTCATACTCTTCTGATGATAGAACTTTCTCTTGCAAAACTACTTTATGCAAAGGCTCTTTAAAGGTTCTGTTGGTGACCATCAAGAGTGCAAGATCTTCCCCTGCCATTTCTACAGTCTCTTCCATATAAGAATCCCTGCAGGCAATTTCATGTTGTGAAATTTTGAGTTCTTCATTTTTTTCCTCTTCAATCCCACTCATATCTTTGCTGTCCAGCATAACTCTAACGTTGTCAGAAATTTTGAGTTGGACTGGTCTGGCAAGGTTTGCGGTTTTGACATTTCTACATATTAGTTCTACCAATTCTGGTTCTAGTAAGACTAGGCGTTCTCCTGAGTGAGCATTAATGTAGCTGTGTGTCATCACTTGACTGAGAAGGTGGTTTTGAATCTGCTCTTCTGACCTGCCTTCCTCCGTGATGGAAAAGTCATAATTGATATCTGCATGTGAGGCAGGGGGTGATGAAGAATAGGCAGATCCAGAACTCAATCGCTTCATATATGAGGAACTTGACGGAGACACATGGGGAAGGACATCTGGAACCTGGATGTGTTTTAGGATCTCCACTGCCTGTGGCTTAAGTATCTTCTCAGCTTGATGGAGAGGGACCACCTGTCCACTCTCAGGCAGACATACTGCACCAACAGAATGATGTTTTCTCAAGGCTTTTGCAGCAAGCTCTCTATTGACAACACCCTGCTGAAGCGCCTCACTTACAGGAATCAGCTCGCCTGATTCTGGCCACATTATTGCCATAAAGGACTGGAGAGATTCCAGTACACGCAAGGCTATGCGAGGAGAGAGAAGGTCTCGTTTTATGGCCTCATCCAACTCTAGACGCTCCCCACTGACTGGATCTATTATTCCTCCTGTTTGTAGCTGTCGTGTCATGAGGGTGCAGGCCAAGTCCTGATCCATCAGGCCATGCCGGACAGCCTCATTAACAGTCAATCTGTGTCCCGAGCGGGGGTCTGTGATACCCCCAGCAAACAACTGAGCCTCCAGAAGTCGAACTGTGACATGCCGGTCGATAAGCCCCTCTTGAACAGCACAGAATATTCCCACCTTTCTGCCAGAGCATAAGCAGACCGTTCCTCCTGGCTTCTGTTTAACTGGAAATAAGCGCAGGCCCTTCTCCTGTTTGAGAACACATCGCTGTTGAAAGTCAACCAGACTTAGTTTTTCTGCTGTATTTGGATCAATAAGTTCTCGCCGGTGAAGACAGGATTGCAGCTTTTGACAAAGATCAGGGGATAACAATCCCTTCTCCCTTGCATGATCCAGGCTGACCATTTCTCCACTGGAACCAGACTTCAGGCTGCCAGTGCTTATCTGCAGCTCAAGTATACGGAGCCCCACCAGCTCCTTTATGATGCCTTCTTTCACAGCAGTGGCTACAGGTAATTCCTGACCCTCTGCAAATTTTACTGTGTTGACAAGACCAAGGGCAGTCTCTAACTCTTCCAGTGATTGGTAGGTATGTTTATCAATCAAACCACTGGAAAGACTCTTATCTAATGACAGTTTATCAGGGGAGTCCGGCTGGAATAGACCACCCATGACGACCTGTGCCTCCAACAGTACATGACAGGTGTCTTGGTCTATGAGGCCACGCTGTGCTGCCTGGAAAACTGGAAAGGTTTCCATGGTGCCAAGGTCAATTACTCCAGCGATGATTTCTTGGCCCTATGGAAAGAAAAAAATCATAAATTTAAAAAACGCTTCTTATTTGAATTTGCAGTGTATTTTTATTCACAGTTTAACTGGGAGGGAAAGAGAAAAATGCCCACCACCATAGCTGAAGTAACTTAAATCAGCATAAGAAGCAATCATCTTGATACTAACATTCATGCATTTATTCATTCAAAAATTAATAAAAATATCAAGTATCATCTTCTTTAAAAATATTACTTTTGAACATGCAAAAAACATTTGGCAGCATAGCACTGTATTGTGCAAAAAAATATGCAAAAATGCACAAACTGAACATTTAAACTACTAAGAGGCCAAAGAAAAGAGAGAACGGACCTTGAGAACATATTGCTAGGTCAGAAAGAAAGCAACGGTAAGAGAAAGCAAGCACTACTTACCGTGGGAGGTGGTCCTTAGACGCACACACACTGACAGGCCGAGGGTTCGGCGGTTTGAGACGCGATAGGGTGAGAAGTCGGATGTTAGCGATCTGCATGCCACACTCCAGCTGCCTGATATGCTGCCCGGGACTGACTATCTACATTTTCATACCTCTACTACTGAATTTCAGAGTAGAGTTTTTCTAAATATTTGTTTTTAGACTTACCTATGAATGTGTGAAGATCTTGGTTGGAATATATGCTTTTTTTTTTATTACTAGTCAACTAAGGATAGTCCTGCATTCCGACTTTTTTCTTACACCCAATTCTGAGATGATGTCTTACATTTTCTCCCTGCAGCTGTTAGTGATTTTGAAGCAAAATGCGAATTAAATTTCACAAAGAATTACAGTATTAAAGACATGGACTGAAAACAGACAATATCACACATACAAACACACAAACAAACATAGCTGTGATCTGGACACATCATGCTCAAAGAGTGAGGTGGAGGTTTGCATAACTGGCTTTTTGTGCTCAGTCTATACCAATCCCTAGGAAAAATATTTTGACGACTGCTTTCTGATGAATCTACCTTGTTTATATCTTTAGCTTCTAGCCATTCAAACACAAACATATCATTCTTCACACAGTAACCACTACATAATGGCTGATGTATGTATGGGTGCACAATTCTACACAATGTTTGTGACTGCATGTGGAAACAAAACAATATGAATGTAATGACAATTATGCCTTTACATTTACATGTTTATATGTACCTTATTTAAATGAAATGAGCTAAACTACAATATGCATGTGGCTTCAATGGACACTAAAGTGGCTAAAGAAGCAGTTTCTGATGCCAAAAAGTCACACTATTCTACTCTAATGAGCTGATGAGTTGCGTTTGAGCAGATGTGCTCGATTAATAATGACAATAAGGATGATGTTGATGACATAATATCAGGCATGTTGTAGAAAATAGGAATGATTTAGATTTCACACCATGCTATTAATTTTTTATAACTGTTAAATAAGACAATGTCTGTGAGATGTATGAATGTGGTGATGAATGTTAAACCACACGTGACAGGCAACATAAAAACACACAAAAATGATTCACTCGCTCTAGCTCACACATACACACTGCTGTAGCATATCTCTAGCACACTGACAATACTTGACCATAACGAAGACCACTATTCAAAGCAATATAATTCAGAAGCATTTCAAGACAAGCTTTTTGCTGTTGAAGCTCATTTGGCAAAGTTGAACACTGCTGTTACTGTGGACTTTCTCTTGCCCCTCTAACTCTACCTTGCGCTTCTCCTCTTTGGCCAGCTGCTCCTCCAGTTGTTGCAAGTGTGTGGCAGAACTGTCACACAGTTGAGTGTAGGTGGCCGTCAGCTCATCCAGCTGGGAGACCACCTGTGCGTGCTCTTCAGGAGACAGCCTAAAGATAAATGTGCTTCATTAACAACAATGTATGCGTTTGTGTTTGAGTAAGTGCATACATATTTGACATTTATATGGATATAGTGCAGTTGTTCTTAAACTATTGTATACAGAACAACCCCAAGTGGCCTGGGGTTACTGTAAACAAAAAATATTAAGATTTTTTTTTGAGTTGTAGCAAATGTGACCTGGAATAAATGCTCTGAAATTGATTGATCTGACTTGGCAGCACTTGGTATGAAGAGTCTGAGAACCGCTGTTGAAGGTCGTATAGTGCAAACTCACTTGCTGGCCTGTTTTGACATCAGGAAGACTTGGGTGCTCCTGATAGCTTCAGCAACTTCCTCTTTTTTAGCTGCTAACTGCTCACTAATAGCCTAGAAGTTAGACAGATACAGTATTTTCAAAGCCACTTAACACATACAATCTACTCAGTGTTGACTGATACACTACGGTCTGTAGAGTACTTAAAAATAGGTAATATTCTAATAGACAACACTTGAAATGTACCTGCTGTGCAGCAAGTGATGGCTCGGCAGATCTGCCAGCACGCTCCTGTAGGCCCTTGACCCAGCCGAGCAGCTCTGAGACCTGGCCTACTCGTGCCTGCCTCTCCTCTTCCACCTCTTTCTGTACCACAAAGGGGAAACATTTTCATTAAGCATACATTTTATGATGAAATCTGATGTTGTCTTTATTATGCAAATACTTGTGCATAGGTAAAAAAGCTTAAAGTAGGAGGCTTAGGAAAGCATAACACACCTCTTCCTCCTCTAGTCGCCGTAGTGCATCACTAATATACTTGACATGTTGTGTTGTCAGTGTAACCAGAGCTGTGTATCGCGTGCGTAAATCCATAAACTAAGACACAGTAAAAAATTGTGATTAAAGCATTTGATGTCAACATGAAAACTAATATAAATCTCAAATTAATGTCATATGAGCCTGGTTTTTCTGCATTTACCTCCTGTGTGATGACATCTGATGAAGAGTGCATCCTCCTCCTTTTCACAGGAGACTTTTGGGTTGATTCAACAAAAGCTCTGAACGTCATAAGTTGGAGTTCATAGTCCTAATGCATAAAATAGAAGAAAGAGAAGAAATATATATTGTTTAGCAAGTGTTTAAGTTTCCATTTCTCCATAATGACTAGCAGTAAGCAGTAGCCGACACTAGTCACTTTGACAGAGTGCTTACCTTAACAGCAGCGCAGTACTGTTTAGAGTACGTCTGGCATTCATCCAGTTTGACCTGGTTCTGTTCTATCTCAGCCACCAAGGCCTACAGAAGAACAGATACTGAATCAAACACTGATCTGTTTTACAACACGTGGAAGTATTCATCAATATAAGTGTCGCCTCTCACCGTTTGCTGTGCGAGCTGCTCTGACAAAGCTCTGCTGTCCGTCTGCTCGGGTTGTGTGTTCTCCTGTTTTTCGGTGGTCTCCTCTATCCAGTGGATGAGAGAGGTGTGGCCTTCTCTGTACTGCTGCAGCACCGAACCCAGCATCTCCAGATCCGCTTGCCTGTAGGACATTATGATTTGTGTTATAATCTGGAATATTACCAAAAATATTGGTAGTTTGACTTTGAAACAACTCACCGTGTCTCCATTTGCCTGCTCACTCCGCTCCACCTCTCTGTGAGCTGTTGTGCTTTCTCCTGGTAGCGGTCCAGTTCAGGGCTGCGGTCAGGGTGCAGTTGGTTGAGCTGGTTTCCGACCTCTCTAGCCTGCTGGACCTCTAAACTCAGACTCTTGAATATGTGATTCTGCTCCTCCAGCTCTGAATGCCATTTCTGCAACAGCGTGACATACAGAGTATGAAATGCAATCAAAAAGTTAACAGTAAAGTCGCCTTTCCACTGTCTCTAACAAACAACAGACTGGAAGTTATTCATTTTCAGAGCTACGTGGAATTTTGATGATATGCATCTGCAGAGTTTTCAGATCTGATTTGAGCTTTGGGTATATTGAAACTGAACTTTTGCAACTGAACGCACCAATCAGTTGTGAGGTATTCCAATTAAAACTATGAGCATGAGGTTGGAATTAGGCCTACCAATAATCTTGAAGTATTCTTTAAACACTATGTTATTCTTTAAAGGAGTCATGATTCATTTATCTTTTGACATATAGGAAGTCATTGTACTATAAAAACATCCTGTAAGTTTCAGAACTCAAAACTTTCTCGTTAGTCTAAAAACAGCTTATATTGAAGCCAATCTGCCAAAAAGACAGGTGGTGGAATGTGCCACTTTATGACGTAATAGTGTGGCTAAACCCCGCCTCCGCAGAAGAAGATCAACACCTGCTTCTACATCACTGCCTGTTTAGCCCCGCCCACCGATTCATGCATGTAGTAGGTAAATAATGAGAGAGGGAATGCAGGTCTATGCAGAAACCAAGCGATAAAGATGGCTCCAAAGACAACAAGACACTGTGCAGTGCCAAGTTGTGGAAAAACATTGCCTTCCTTCTGATCCTAACATTCAGAAATGAACTTTGGATGAACTTTATTTGAAGATCAAGACTGCATGTGTAAGAACTTGGTGTTTTGTTCACTTCATTTTACTACGGATTCGTTTAGAAAAAACAAGGCACAATTCAACGCAGGTTTTTCAGAGATTGAAACTAAGACGATGCTGTGCTGACTATATTGGATCCGACAGTCATGTCGCAACACAAAAGTGTGAGTAACTGTTTTTATTACTTGCTCACTTTTGCTTTGTCTGTTAAACAGAGTATTTATGCATTTTTGACCTAAATCACAGCAGCATCCATCTATGAAGGATGTACGCTGTCAAACATACACAACGGTTAGCCAATCATAGCAGTGGGCGTTTACTTCCGACTCGAATCTACAATCTGACACGTGTATTCAAACAGAGCCTTCTGATGAGGGGGGTTAAAAACAGGACAGAAAATAGCCTATTACTTCTAAATGATGTTTTTTGATGTACAAATCTTGATAACATTATAAGGGGACCTCAGAGAACAGTACAAAATAATAAAAAAGGCAGTTCATGACCCCTTTAAACACTATTTCTGTAAAATGGGAGAATGTGATCATGTCCAAAACTATTTTTTGCCCTAGAAAACGTACTATGCAGTCATTTGTTTGTGTGGACATATTCATACTTTTATTATTCACTCATTTAAGCTTGGTGAATAAGCAGAAGGTAACTGCTTTTGCACAACCATTTTGAAAGTTCTGTGCAACTGCCACTAGGGGGCAAAATGCAATTTTAGTGAATGTCAGAGATAGTGGAAAAGCAATCTATTTCTTTTGAGGTAGCAAAATCCTGACTCGTTTTTGTGTTTAAGAGAAATGTTTTTGAATAAAACAAATATGTGACCCTGGACCACAAAACCAGTCATAAGGGTCAATTTTCAGAAATTGAGATGTATATATAATTTTTTTGGCTATTGCTAAAAATATACCAAAGCGACTTAAGACTGGTTTTGTGGCCCAGGGTCACATATTGTCTTATAAGGATAATATCATATGAACAAATATTGCTTTGGCGATTAGTTGGTTTGGTTGAGATATTAGTCAACTGCTAGCTATGAATGTGTCTGAATATATGAATGTGTCTGCGTGTCTCACATTTAACTGCTCTCCAAAGGCCTGGATTGCAGCAGTATCAGCGGGGACAATATTCTCTTCACTCAGTCGACTCTCATACTTTTTCACTTGACTTTCTGCAGCCTGCAGGCTTCTCATCAACACATCAACCGTCTTCAATCTGGCAGATGCAGAGAAACAGACACTCAAATTATGGTTGTCCCTAAGGCTAAACAAGCCTTGATGACTAATTAGAGTACATGAATTGAAATGACTTTGTGTACTAACTTTTGCAGATAAACAGAGGAGAGGGAGTTCAGTTTCTCTATGTGCTCTACAGCCAGGTTGAGCTCAGAGCGTAGGACAGGCACACTGGAAGAGGTAGGTTTCTCCTCAAAGAAGCTCACGCAGCGACGAGACACTTCACCCAAATCTGACTGAAGACCTTTCAGATCCTGCTGCAGCTTCTGGAAAACCATTAAAAGATTCTTCAGAATACATTTATTTTTTCTTCAGACTACATGCAATTTAAATGACATTTGCAGCTTCTAGTCCATGTAATGTAGCTAGTCCTAAAAGTTGACAAAATGAACTGCTAAATTAAATGAAATAAAAAAATATTGAAATGACTGAAAATAAAATCTGAAAATTAAACAAATATGCACATTTAAGCCAGTCTTTCTCTTCTAGCAAAAAATTACAAAAATATTGATGACTCAACTTGCAATAAGAGGCGCATTCATAAACAGCCTTCTAGTCATGATATATATATATATATATATAATATAAATAGTATACTATGAATTTATATCAGTGCGACTTTCAACAACTGAAAGAAAACTGTGATAGTAAAATCACTGAATGAGGTCACTATTGTTATTGCTAACTAAAACTAAAACTTTTAAATCATTTTCGGTAACTGAAATAAAGCTGAAATAAAATGAAATATAAACATCAGATAACTGAGGCAACTAACTGAAAAACATTTAAGTTGAAGTACTAAAAATTACTTAATTCAAATAAATTACAGCTATACAGACATAAAAGATGAAAAAAAAAAACACATAACAAAACTACTCTAGCAATAAAATGAAAATTGAAAACAAAGATAAAAGCTAATTCAAAACATGAATACATATTACAATAGTCTATAAATAATACCACAAAACTTGTAAACTATAAACAATTTGATCACTGTTAGTAACACATACTGCAGTGTTCTGATTTTTGTAGAATTTACAGTATTTTCCATAATTGCAGATACTATGGACTGCTTTATTTATGTGCATCAGCTAAAAACTGTTGTGCAGATTGGAACTAATACACAGTTATTGAGGTGATTGACCAGTAGAGGGAGTAGTTGTGCTGATCACTCCTCACCTCTTGCTCTGCTATGTGAACTGCATTGTCTGCGACTTCTGATATTGTGCTGGGGTGTGGAGTCTGCATGCCACGCATCAGTTTGCTCTCTGCATCCTCCAGATGGGACTTGATGCTCTGCAGCTCGGAGAGGTAAGCGCGAGAGGCCAACTCATCCTTCTCCACTAAAAGTGGAGTTAAAAAAAAAAAAACTTAGCACCATGTCATATGCTTTCATAGTAAGCAATTAATACACACAATAACAACTTACCTGTCTCCAAAGAGACCAGCAGTGTTTGGCAATGTTCACGGCAGTTCTCAGCTTCTCTCTCTAGCTCACGCCGCTCAGTTGGTGTGAAAAGGCAGCTCTCGCGACTGTCTGTAAGGAAGTCGGACAAGTGGGCGTCAAGGTTGTCTAAAGTCTGCTGCCTCTCTGCTGGAGCCTGTAAGCGCATCTAGAGAAACAGACAAATGTTTATGATAAACCTCTGAAAGTGTTGCGAAAAGAGAGTATATGGGAAATTGGTGAAACTTGTGGTACTAACTGTATCCAGACTCCAGGAGGCAATATTTCGTATGTCTTTTTGCAGGTAGTGCCAGGAGACCACGCTCTTCATGTTAACATGCAGTTGGTGCCATAGAGACATGACATTCTGGTACATCTGCTCCATTCTATGGAAAGAGAAAAAAAATAATCTTACATAGTTTATAAAGTTAATTATGCAATAGAAAAGATGATATAATATAACACAAATACAATACAAAATGTATGCAATTTTTCATTCTTGATAATTGATGTTTGTGTTGTAGTCACTGATCTATGCATGTTCTCTATTATAGATCAGTGGTTGTAGTGCACAATTCATCATTCTAAATAAATAAAATAATAAAAACAAAACAGTATTTTATTTTCCCAAGAAAAATTAAGTTGCGTTTACCCCAGTGTTATTTTAATATTGTGGACATACCATTGTTTTATTTATTAATATTTTGAATTAGCTTTTATTTTTATATTCTCAGTTTTCATTTTAAATGTAAAGTCATTAGTCATTTTGTTATGTGCTTTTGTCTTGTTCCATCTTTTTAAATATGTATATTTAGCTTTATTTTGTGTAATTTTAGTACTGTACTTCAACCTACATTTATTTTATTTCAAAATTTCTAATTTTAAATTTTAAGTTTACGTTTTTCATCTAATATTTTTTATTTTATTTCAGCTTTATTTCAATTAATTAAATTTTCATTTAATTATCCTTTAAATCAATTAAATTTTTTTAATAGTTTTAATTTTGGTTAACAATAACAGCACTTGTCTGCCCATTCAAAACTTGCCACTAAAATGCTAGGGTAGCAGCTGGTACTTAGGGCATTCTGGGTGGCTACTTATTGGGCCAAAGTGAAAACATTTTGTGTGTGTGTAATTCATGTCCATAGCATAAACGTAGTATTTCTATGCCATACATTGTTTCACTTGAAAATGTATCACATTACCGAAGACATGTTCCTACTTGTGTATGAGATCCTAATTAACGTGTTTGTAAGGAACCTGTGAGGTTCTGTGTGCTGTACCTGCTGGCAGTGTCGATGGCCTCCTGATTAGGAGGAGGAATGGTGAAACACACAGATGGCACCATGGCCTCATTTCCTGTAGGACTGATGACCTTCCACTTAGTCCTCTGAGAGTTATCCTCCAGTACACACTCCTCTCCTTTGCTGATCGTGATCTGAGAAAGAGAGAAAGATGGAGAGACAGAAAAAGGGATGGAAAAAACATAATGGGTAAGGGAGAGAGGATTTGAAAAACAGAGCTGATGGTCAATGTTGATTAAAAAGTAAAGGGATTCAAAATATTAACCAAAGGATGAGGAATAAAATGTTAATGCTAATGGCCTTCATATGAGCTGAAATACGTGAAATATGAATTTCATGGAATAATGCCTTACTGCACTAACATATCTTTACAACTGACCTGGCAAAAAAAATTCAAAAGCACTCATCTTTTTCATTTTAATGTCAGTTGCTTTTTCAGCCTAATTTTGCCCAGGCTAACATGAAAGCTAAAGGCCATCAATAACCCTCAAGGCAACATAAAATGAAAAGCAAGTGATTTAAGCATATTAAAAATCAAATATAATGTGAGAGCACTTTCTAGTGTCCCACCTCAACTCTCACCCTATCCCTTGCACACAGAGAACATTATGCTTCGCAATATATTACATATTGGTAAGAAATTACAGACTAACAGAGGGTTACCACCTGCTTGTGACTGATAAATACAATATAATTAAAATGACAATCGCAAGTCAACATGCAACATGCTCCCACCATGGACAATAAATGATTTATTGGGCTGGAAGAAAAACACAGAATTAACAATATTAATGCGCTATTTCACATTAACAATGTACAGGACGCCTGAGGTAAAGCAGGGGTCCCTTGTGTGCAGGGCCAGGCCAGAGAGCAAAGGTCAGAGGAGGAGAACGGTCGGCAATAGTACCTGAGAGTTGGCCTTGCCCAGCCCCGCAGACACACATAAAGAGGAAGGGAGAAGGAGGGAACAGAGAGAGAAAGACGGGGGTCAATGGAGGGAAAAAGGAAAAGGAGGAACATTGGGGGAGGGCAGAGAAAAGGGGGGTGGGACGGGGATAGGGAGGGAGAAAAAGATTACTTTTGGGCATTTAGCAGACCTCGCCTGACTGAGATAATATGATCAGGAAAAGAAACAGGGCCACAGCTGGGAGAGTGAATGAGTGTTTATGAGTATTCTGCATTCACATTAATATTCAATAAATGACAGCATCTCATTTCATCATTTAAATAGAGTATGTGATGTGTGAATGAAGAGCGTCATATATTCACATTGGCAGATTAGATATGCTATAGCATGTCTGTTCATCACTCATGATATGCCACACCCCCACTTTCCCAGAATTCTTTGCTAACAGCTAAATGGGCAAACATACTGTAGGACAGATCTTCTGGATATATTTTGGTCAATTGCACCTTTTCCCATTATACTTGCCTGCACAGCTCCAGGGCGGTTTATGACTAAATATGTGTGAACAGACTCTGGCTAGTGATGTAAAAGCTAAAAGACTTTTTGTTCAGGTGGGGTAGGAGTGGGCTACAAACATAAAACTCAGAAAAACTGAATTAGGATCACTTTAATATCCCAAATGTGATCTTAGCTCAGTTCTCAAGAGCAAAAAGATCAATGCAGGGTTGAGATGTGGTAAATTAAGGCAAAGCAAATTGTGATGGTGAGATATCTGGAGCATGTTATACCTCTATTTGTCGGTAGTCACAGATGACACGAATTGGCGTGGTGGTGCCCAGGTTACTATCTGCACTGCGTGGACGGAGCTGGACTACAGACTTGGCTCGGCCTACAAGGCTGGCCACTGTGCTGCGGTATTCAATCAATTGTTCTTTCTCCTCCTGAAAAATAAAACATAAGAAAGTCAATCAAGCAGCCAAACAGATAACAGCAGTAAAATATGAAGAGTAACTTGATGTTGCACTATTAGTGGCCATAATTAATTTTTTCAGACAGAACAAATATTGTTCAATAAACTCTTAATTCAATAAATATTTAAATGCATTAATCAGAATATTTCAAATAATTTGTTTGAATTCAGCCTCTGCATAATCAGCATAATTGGATTTTCTTCCATTAATACTTGTTTTTCCTTGCCCTGTGTCAAACAAACTCAATGTAAATGTGCTTTCATGATGATAAATATTTGTTTTCTCTCACTATAATAGATTAATGACTTTTGTCATGAAATAGCTTTAAGAAAATGAAAGGCCATCACTGATATTCTTTCCTGGGTTATTATTTGCTTAGCTTTCATTGTGCTAAAATTAATGAGTATGTGGTATGACACTTACATGAAAAGCTCATGAGGGACTCATTAGTTCTGACTTTGGGAAGCAGAGGCCGACAGGAAGAGCTAATAACATTACACTCGCTGCAAGAATTTAACATGTGATATTAAATTTGACTGCAAATTGAAATTATGGCAAACAAGCCAAACCTTATTTGAGGGCTATCAATTGTTATTTGGCATATCAACATTTTTTTTGAGACATCAAATGCTTAATTAAAGGGGTCATATGATGCTTTTTTAAAGATCATTATTTTGTGTATTTGGTGTAACAGAATATGTTGACATGCTTTAATGTTCAAAAAACACATTATTTTTCAAATACTGTACATTATTGTAGGTCCTCTCTCTCTCTCGCGCTCTCTCTCTCTCTCTCTCTCTCGCGCTTTCTCTCTCTCTTGCTCTCTCTCACTCTCTCTTTCTCTCTCTCGCTCTCTCTCTCTCTTTTGCTCGCTCGCGCACACACACACACACGATGCGCAACACTCCGCATTTGAACAGTCAATAGCAAATACTTAAACTAATAACAAAACAGTAGCTGATTCAGAAGCGCCATAGATTGTCATAGCAAAGTCAGAATTACCTCCTCTCCTAGGTTCATGAAACGGTCGTCCATAAAATGCATTGCTGTTCTGTTGTAAGTAATCTTAAAGATTCCTAAATGCATCTACTTTCGGAAGGCCAAATAAAGTGCTTTTGCTTTCGCACTGAAACACACAGCGTCTCCCTGACATGGCTGCTTCAACACTAACTGCGGTTACTGAAACCACGCCTTCTTTCTTTGCGTGCACATTTGGGCGGCATTATGCAAATATTTCCACATAGTGAGGTAGATATGTGGGGGCGTGTTAGAACGAGCCGTTTTAGGGGGGCGTGGCAGAGTCTTAACTTTGATAAAGAATATCTCTTTGGTTTTGAGACTTTAGTCTTTTCAACTTCAGGGATCTTATCTATGCACAATCAGCTTGTAACACGTCATATGACCCCTTTAAAATCATCCCCAGGGAGAGCAAGAAAAAGTGGTTAAAGTTTATGTCTAACATAAATATTTTAAATAACTAAAAGTATGCCTAATTCTGAACAAACGTTTGATGATGTTTGTTTAATTATGAGCTAATGCAACAATTCTAGAACATTTTCTTAATATGATGGCATGATTACTTTTTTGTTTTTAAAGAAAAAAAAAACAAGCATTTAATCAGTCGCATGTTAATTGGAACAAATAGTAATAATAGTATTAAGTACAGTACATTTTTTAAATATTAAATTCAGCTGTGTGAATAACAGCCAGTGCTGGTGGATTACTAGGAATTAGTGTTATTTTTACTCATTTGTAAAAAAACAAAAAACAAATCCCAGCTTCGATCTAATTTTTAACTGCATTCATTCCCTTGTTGAACTCCAATGCACTTGTGCCGGACTGGGTCTCTCTTCCGTATGGCCAGAGAGGCTATGCCCATCGCTCTGCCTGCTCTTGTGCAACTCCTCTCTCATAGTGCCATCTGTCCCATGTGAGGACACTCACCACCTCCTGTGCACTCACTGTGCTCAAATATTCACATTCCTAAACTACGTATAAAGCATAAAATCTCCTACGACCAGCGCTATTTCAGCATAATCAGAATTTTTATTCAATAAATAAAAATAAAATACGTAAAATATGTTTAAAGCTGTTTTTTTTTTTAAATAAGAAGAAAGACCCACCATGGAGTCCTGCAGCAGGTCTTCCAGTCTACTGAGTCTACTGTTTTTATCACAGGTGTACTGTCTCTTAATGGTGTCTTGTAGTTGACGTAGATAGCTTTCACAGTCCCGTGCATCACTCGTAAACTATTAAACAAAAACATGTCATTAAAACCCCATGTTAAAAATGTCATTTTGAATGCTATTCCATTGAAAAGTACCTGGAAATAGGCAGTGTTGTCCTTGAGATGCTGCTCCACACATATGCAGAGCTCTTTGATCCACTGCCACTGCGTCTGCAGGGCAGCACTGTAAGCCTGTGATCAGAGGGTCAACTGGTCACGACTGAGTTCCAAATCTGATATCAAACTATGGCTGTTTTTACACTGGCACAAAAAAATTTGATTTTTTGCTCACATCTGACACAGATCGGAATTTGTTGCACACATGTAAACACAAAAATCTGCACGAGATCCGATTATTTCTGCATCCGATCTGGGCCATTTCCAAATGTTGATTTTAATTGGATACATATCCAATATCTCTATGGTTAATTCATTGGAATTCATTTAAATAAATATCACTTTGGCGCTACTTTATTTCAATAAAGAATTCTACCTCTAACGAGCTGTAGCTAAAATAACAAATGAAAATCACTGTTATTTTCCAGTCTTTATCTGTTCAGTCAGATTTTGTGCTGCAAAACATCCATGACAGCTGTTGTCCATGCTGGTAAATAATAATGGCCACTCGACGTGAATTCTATAAATAATTTTAATAGCACAGCCATTCAAAACCCGAGGGTCTTCCATGTGCATAGTAAAGCGATCACTGACAATCTTTTTTTCAGGAATTAATGTAAACACAGATATCGGATACCAGTTACGTAATCAGATTACTTTTTTCAAGTAACTAGTTTTATTGCTGAAGTGTGTTGAAATTTCTTCTTCTGCATTCTACTGTACGGACGTAAATTTACTTTCCCTTCAGCCTGAGGGCTTATTCATTTCACTTTTGGTGTGAAAAGGCTTTTATATTTGCCAAAAATAGAACTTTTTTATTTTAAAAACAAACAAGCAAGCCCTGTCCAGATTTAAAACTAACGCAAAAGTAACGTAACGCATTACCTTCCATAAAAATATTTTTATGGAGTAACGCAATATTGTAATGCATTACTTTTAAAAGTAACTTTCCCCAACACTGCCAGTTGTGTCTGAAGTGAATATAAACAGGTGGGCCAAAAAAAATCGGATATGGTCAAAAGATCAGATCTGTGCATTAAGACTTGCAGTGTAAATGCAGCCTAATTTTAGGTCAGTGAGTGAAGATTGTTCATATTGGTCAACAGCTCACCTCCACTGTTTGTTTGGCTGGGTGGTTCTCATGACACAGGCGATCAGCTGTCTCCTGGAGAGAGCGCATCACTTCCTGTTTTTCCTCCAGCTCTGACCTCATGTCCTAAGAGAGAGTAAGGAGAATTTGAGATATTGCTCAAATCCAAAACAACGCAATGTCCAACTGTAACAACATTAAAATCACCTAATCTAATTTGTAAATGCATTTTATTGATCTTATTGTGAAAGATTCATCAAATCCATTCCAAAATCCAAACAACAACCAATGCACAGAACCAGGTACTGCTCTATATTTCTTGTTTTTTGATAATCCATTAAACTCATTTGTATGTCAAAAGGCAAAAAACATCTCTAAATCAGTAAAGGAAGATGTGGTGGCCAGAGGTAGTATGATGACTACTGCATCTTTCTATAGATGGAGTCTTACAGCATATTGCTCTCTTTTGGCAGCCATGTTGGTGCTGCTGTCGCTCCAGTCGAAGGCCAGCTCCTCCTCCTCCCTCTCATTGAGCCAGATCAGCTCCTCAGTGCAGTGGGACACAAAAGCTCGAAGGCTCTCTAGGCAGCGCAGTCGCCATGACGAATGTTCCTGCGACAACACAAAACAACATACATAACATTGCCCATATGACACGGGCAACTGCTCAGTCTGGTGCTTTTCCCGAGGTAAGCAAAGCACCCTTGGCGAATTGGCCTCATAGGTCTTTTGAACAATTGCAGGTTTTCATGGAAAATTGATTCGGTTAAATTAAGGAGACATGTCTGGCTGTGGATTTATTGTCAAGAGCAGGTGTTTTACAGCACTCTTATGCATGTCACACTCAAGCATTCAGTATTCTGCTTTTGTAAGGACACACTCTGTCACACCCTAATGAGATTAGAAAACAGTAATATCCATAATGCACTGTATAATGAACTCAAATACACTCACATATGCCTGCTTATCATAATGCTAAAGCTGAAAAACTCACCAGCAGTTTGCAATACTGGTTCTCCAGCTTGGATAGAGTCTCAGAGTAACTGCTATGTAAATTAGGCGAGACCCTTGACTGGGGGAGAAAGAACATGAAGAAATAAATTATTGCTTATGCAAAAGCGTGCAGCATTGCTCCTGGAGTCTATTCATACCACTTCTAATTTTGGACCCTGCATACAACCATTCATGAGCTTTACTCGGGCCTAAATGTTTTTTCAGAGTCACAAATTGTATTGCATTGCTGAGACTACATCAGAATGTGTGTGAGAGGTGTGTGACAGTTCATGTACCTCATAGTTTCGAGCCTCTTTGAGGCTATTCAGAAGATCTTCCACTGCTGTGTGAATGATGTGGTGGTCTTGCAGGTGCTGATCTACAGAGGGTAGATCAGAACCCCACTCGGCTCGCTTCAGCAGGTCCTGCGTCTCTTCCACCCACCCCAGCAGCTCGTAGATGAAGCGCAGACTGCCTTCGTCCTCAGATGAAGACATGGCTACCAGGTCTGCACGAGACATCGGCCATCTGAGCAGGGACGCAGCAGCACCCACTGCACCCAGAAGTGTCTGTGCTCCCAGCGTAGCCAGGCCGCCTGAGGAACCCTTCTGACCCACATGCTCTCCCAGCAGACCCCCTGTGGAGAAATGACCCTTCCTGTACACACTGGCACACTGCAGGCGCAAAGAAACCAGCTCCTCCTGCAGACAGGACACCCTACAAGAGAGAAAAGATCTCAGGATCATAAATGAAAAACAAATCCTGAAAAACATGTATTGCGGTTTCTACAAAAAATATTAAGCAGCATAATGGTTTTCAACATAATAATTAGAAATATTTCTTGAGCACCAAATCAGCCTATTAGAATGATTTCTGAAGGATCATATGACACTGAAGACTGGACTAATGGTTGCTGAAAATTCAGGAATAAATTAGATAAATCAAATTGTAATAATATTTCACGTTTTAATGTATTTTTGATTATTTAAATACAGCCTTGGTCAACATAGGAGATGTCTTTCTAAAAATAAATATACAGTCAAACCAAAAATTATTCAGACACCAGATATAATTTTTGATATTTATTTACTAGTGGGTGCAGGACACTATAGTTCATTTATGTAAGTGAGGATAGCAAAATAAAGTGAACTGTGACATATTATACCAAAAGACTCTTCATACAGTGGACTACCAGTAAAATTTATAAAAATTTGGGACCAAAAATTATTCAGACACTTTGACCGGACCATGTTTTGCTTAAGAGTTTTTTCTTTAATTGCTAATGCAACCTTTTTACACTCAGACTGAACAAAATTAAGCATTGCTTGGTAAGTGGTTGACCTAAATTGGTATTATCTAATTGTGTACTTAAATTTAACAGCTGACAGCTATTCAACCTAATTCATTACATACCTTTCTATCAAAGTTATCTGACATTATCAAGATGAATTTGTTCTGAAACAGTTTAACTCTGAGTTCGTGTCATATTTTATAACAATTTTCTAAACTATAGCGAATAAACTGTGATAATGTGAGAAACGTTGAAGGTGTCTAAATAAATTTTGGTTTGACTGTATAAAAAATCTTACAGACCCCAAAATTTTAAATGGTAATGGACATTCTCAAAAAGAATGGCAACAATATGAACAAAAATATTTTGGCTGACAATTAATTGTCATACAAATAACTGGGAATAATCAATTTTAAATAACTGTCAGCAAGAATAAAATCATAGCCATTCTTGCCTCTAATTCCGCTCTGTGGCCTGCTTTTCGCACACATTTTTTTCTCCCTCTTACCTGAAAGCCAGCTGCTCCACTTGATAGTACTTCTCATCTCTGAGGACCTGCAGGTCAAGATGAAGCTGTCTGACTAAAGCCTCACAGTCCTGCAGATACATCCCCAATTCATTCTCACACCGTACCGGCTGCCCATTCTCTAGCTGAGACATGTCCTGAGGAAAGACAGAAGACAATGAAGCACAAAACATTTCTGAATGATAAATATCCAAGCAAGGTCACACTTTATTTTAAGGTCCAATTCTCACCATTAACAAACCATTAACTACGACTTTTGCCTCAATGAACTCCTAATTTGCTGCTTATTAATAGATAGTAAAATAGTTGTTAAGTTTAAGTATTGGGTAGGATTAGGGTTGTAGAATATGTGCTTTATAAGCACTAATAAACAGCCAATATGTTAATAATAGGCACGCTAATAAGCAACTAGTTAATAGTGAGAATTGGTCCCTATGCTAAAGTGTTACCCAAACGTTCTGTAGGGATTATTCTGAGGCAGCACTGTCTTTATCCTTCACGGTAGTACTAATCTATTTCTGTTTATTTCAAATACTGAAATATAGAAATCAAAATATTTAATTCTAATTAAAACTGATTATTCTACTCAGTATTTGTGTGCTATCTAGCCTAGCAGTTAACATCAAACTCTACTCCCATACTTACAGCCTGCAAAGTGTTCTTCGCCAGCGTGAGTTTCTCCTCACAATCTAGTGCCATGTTCTGGATCTTATTGGCCTTCTGTAGAAGTAGCTCCAACCTAAGAACAAAGTTACGTACAAATGACACATTAAAAAATCCTTTCAAACAGCTACAATTCTAAATGCAGCAATCATCTCTTCTAGACGTGGACTCACTAACCTCTCCACAGCAGGCCTCAGTGCTTTCTCTCTCTCCAGCATCTCCAGGATCAGTTTTCCCCATTCCTCCTCCAGATCATTAGGGTGTAGCCCTTGAGGCAGCTTAATGCGCCCGAACTCTATCCACGCCTAAACAACATCCACAAACATCAATCATTTTAACATGAAAATATGCTTTCCTAGTGTTTTTGAGTGTGTGCATGTGTGTTCCCTTTATACTGTCAATCTTCCACCTCTCCCACATGGCAGCGTTGCGCTCTACATTAGCCTGAATCTGTTAATGTGCAGCTGTGTGCCTCTTGTGAACAGTGTCGCCTGCATTTAGCTGCAGAATCAAGGTCAGCCTCAATCTCTCTCTGTCATTCTCTTTTTATCTTCGTAAAAGTCTATCTCACCTCCAGAAGCTTGTAAAGGTGCTCGATGTGGCTCTTCTCTCTCTCCTTCGCAGGGATCTCGGTTTCTTTGAAGTGGACATATTCATTGTAAAGTGCCTGGGGAAGACAACACTTTTGGTAAACAGCCAAGTAAAGGACACATCAAATGGTAATTAGCAATTTAAGGCATCACAGGTTTGTTCCAGACACAATGGCTGTTTGAGTGAATATGCTGCCTTGTAAGAGACCTATTTTTAGCAGTATCCTTCACAAAGAAAGCAATCCTAGAATGCATAGCAAATAAATAATGATGTATTTTAAATAAACATTTTATTCAATACTGAAAAGTATTGGATTATTTTACCCAATATTTGTGTGTGCTGTGAATTTTGTTTATAAGAATATATTGTTCTGTTAGCTTAGCAACATGCTAACATCAAACTCTATTGAAATCAAAATTGTGAGTCCCTATTTGTGGCATATGGATGCAGATTGTTCCAAAACATTCACCAAAGCTGTATTTATTTGATCAAAAATATATTAAAAACAGTCATATTGTTAAATATTATTACAGTTTGAAATAACCGTTTTCTATTTTTATATATTTTAAAATGTAATTTATACCAGTGATGGCAAAGCTGAATTTTCAGCATCATCACTCCAGTCTTAAGTGTGACATGATCCTTCAGAAATCATTCTAATATGCATATTTAGTGCTTAAGAAACATTTCTTATTATTAGCAATGTTGAAAACATTTGCACTGCTTAATATTTATGCAGAAACCATGCTACATATTTTTTTTTTCAGAATTCTTTGATGAATAGAAAGAACAATCTCTTGTAACATTATGAATGGCATCTTTGATCTGAATGTGTTCTTGCCAAATAAAAACAGGAATTTACTGTTGACCCAAACTTAAACCCTTCCCTTCTTCATGAAATCCACTTCTCTTCTCTCAGCTTCTCCTTCCCTCACGTTTCTTACCTTGAGTTCCACAGGATTGTGGGGGAAGCTCCTGTTGGCCATGAGGGCCGTGTGTTGCCTGGTCCACTGCAGCAGAGAAGAGAAGCCAGACTGGTACTCTGTCCATCGCTGGTCAACCTCCTGAACAACAGAAACCATATGAGAGAAAACAAGGAACGAGAATGAAAGACAAATTACATTAAGTACATTAGAGAAAGAAGGTACAGCTTGAAGAGAGTGAGTGCACTGTGAAGTGAACATACATGAGCTGCAATGCCTTCTCCACCCTCTGGGATCTTGGGGAAAGCATCGTAGATGGAGGAGACGTACGTGATGACAGATTTCTCATCTGGCGACGGCACATCAACATCTGATGTAGAGAGAGAATAAAAAGTCTGAGTGAATGATGATCTAAGACAAATGGAGTTTAGCACATAATACTTCCTATATGTAGAATGGATGAAAACTAAAGACAGATACGACACCAATGTTACCTTCAGCATCTAGAAGTCGCGTTACTCCTAATGACTCTGCAATCTCAAAGGCCTGTTCCAGGTTCTCACGGTTACTCTGTTGCGCAACCACTTCCATGTCAATCAGGTCCGGCCTAAAAATCACAATGCCACGAGATCATGAGGGTTAGATGCCCTAATGTCCGTCTATCCTTTTAAACTGAGCATTCGTTATGTTTTAATGTGTGAACCTGTATCTGTGCAGAAGAGCGTTGAACAAGCGTCCATCGCTCCAGCTGGAGGAGAAATTGGCACAACGGAGACCGGGGTAGCCCTCTGTTGCCTGTTGACTCCATATTAGCAGCTTCTCTTTCGCCGTGAGGTCACCTGACTCACCGCTCACATAGATCTCAGAAATCTGGTAAATAGAAAGAGCTTATATTGTACCTGAACTTCATGGTTTGTATGTAAAGGGGAACTAATGTCATACTTCCACTAAAAAGATTGAGCATTGCTAGTTTGCAAATGTATATTTTTATGGGTATTCACTGTAGGCCACAGCTAGGCCATGGCCCTTTCACTCGCTCTTCCTCTTGACAAAGGGAGTCAGTATCCGCAGTATCTGTCTGTGCCAGGCTGTAATCTGTATTGCTTTGTCATTCCTCTCATATGCTGCTCTTCAAATCCCTCCCTGCTTCTTCCCTAGCTAGCAAAGAACACTTTAAATCCTGGCATGAATGCAGACAGTTCTAAGAGTATAGACAGACATAAGAGTAAATCAATCTTCACAAAGTCAATGCAGGCCAAGATTAACTTGAGCAAATTTGGTGACATACAGAAACAGAAGAGTAACTGTCCTAGCCTGAGCCTCTTACTCTAAAGATGACTAGAAGAAGGTGAGGTCAGACAGATTTCTAAAGCTAGTCCAATCATCCAGGCTCTGAGCCATAAAAATGCACCTAAACATTGCCTCTTCTTTTGGTATCACCATCAAACATGTTTTCCTGACAAGAACACTCGAGTCAAATCAGTCTCAAGATGAACCGTCCATGACAGCAGAGATAAATCTGGGTTTAACGACATGCTGTGTATGTCATAAAAACAGTGGACAGGTCATACTGTGACACTGCAGGGCTCCAGACTGCGACCACCGCGTTGGTCAACTCATAAACACTGCAATTTCTGTTGCATATGAGAAACATCAAACGGCAAACGAAACTGAAAGCATAACGAAACAGCGCTTAGAGAGTATACTCGCCGCGTCAGCATGAGCGCGAAGGTGCATGCAGCAAAAATGACACGCATATTGAGGAAACGATGGATGGTTTTCAAGCGAAAGTCAAGTAAAAGACCGCTTCTTAAACCAGAGAAGGTGAACATGCTGGCATTCTTGTGGGGGGAAAAAACATGCAAGCACTGTCACCGTTAGTTTTACTTTTCTTTTTGTTTTCATTTTTGAAAAACTTGTTATCATTGCTGTTTACCTCACATTACGCTATGGAGGCTCTCTTTTATTTATTTATTTATTTGAGTGTTTGCTGTTTGCTAAACGTTCTGTAATTTATTAGTCGGTATATAATACAGCATGTGGTGTGTGCCATCTTATTCGTTTTTGTTAATAAAGATTTTGTAAGCTAGTTTGTCATTGTATCTTACTGATTTATTGTTGTTGTGCTTTTTAATTAAGAATAACAATGAATCCATCTTTTGTTTTAGTCTTAAAAATGAAAGGTGTGTAGATGTATGTAAGCAAACGTACAGTGACAACAAGATCGCGAATTCAAAAGCATCTGAAGAATAATTTAGTGTGGGCATAAGGGATAGTGAAGGAAGTGCTACAATCAGCAATGTAAAAGGGCATTTGATGATGAAAAAACGATAAAAGTGATATGAGAAATCAAACAAAATGCAAAACCAACCAATAAAAATTCTAAATCAACAAATCAACCAGATCAACACCTATTAAAAATATATACAAAGATTTGTCATGAAATTCTGGATGGCACAGGGTGATAGGTTGCTTGCTGCTCAACATTCAAATACTTGGCTAGAGCTTTCCGTAGCAGTTGCAGTGTGCTTCAGAAACCCTCCACCTTCCCCAGCTCCACCTGTATAGATCTTCTACAGGGTAATTTCATATATGTTATACAGTATATGGAGGTTATTTGTTATTTATTTGTTAGATGTGCAGCAGCAGTATTTCCTACATGCTTACAACAGCATGTCTGTGAATGTATTAGCAGTAGTAAGTCTCAGTACTTGCTACTTGCAAGACCAAACACATTAACATTGCCATGTATATTACCATGCTGAACTCTCCGAGAGTTGTCATGACAGAAAAAAATGTAATGTTATGTAATAGAAAGGAAGGAAAGCAAACATAGCAAATAGCATAATAGCAGATAGCAAACATTTCCCTAAAGAAAGTTTGCAGGCCTGATTTATGCACAATCTTTTTTTATATGTAGGGAAATTTTATGCCATCATGACTGCAACACATATTGCATTAACTCTATAGAAGACAGTTTGCTCTATGGTGAGAGATCATGGAGACTGCATTTAAACACTCAAACATTTTTGATGTGCATTTCTGGGTGTGTGCATGCTGGCTTCGGTTTCCACATTTATGCTGCATTTCTGGTACACTGGCAGAAAAATAGCTAGGTAGACATCACTGAAACGTCATGGTTTGAGTATGCTTAATATTGAGCATTTAATAAACCAAGTGCAGCTAGCACACTGCTGGAATGTCTGTAACGAGGCCATGAAATCCCTCTCCACCAGCCATAACTCTTAAGTGTGCAGGTGGAGCACTAGGCAAGGGAGGGCAGGCAACAGACACAAATATGCAGCGATCACACTGGTGCAGAGAGAAAAAAGATGAGCAGCTGACAAAATGTCTGTGAACATCATTTGTGACCATGTTTTTGGCACTGGCATGCAGTTTCACTCGAATACAGAACCTAGAGCATCAGGAATGATAAGAAAGAGAGTGGGTGGTATGAGGGAAGGGAAATAATGAGGAATGGAAGGAAGGGAAGGAGGCAGACAGTGAGAGATGGTCTGGGCAGTACTGATTAGGCTCCTGGGAGAGGTTCAGGAAGGATTTGCTGTTTTCTAAGCACAGCTGATTGGCTGAGAGAAAAAAAAGCCACACGAGAGATAGTAGTGAAGACATAGAATGAAGACACCTATACCCCCAATCCACACCCAAGCTTTGTCAGCTTTAATCTCTACTCTTTTATATTACAAAAGCCATGTGAAAGAGCTTTAAGAAGACAGAGAGAAAAGAATCTGACCTGGGTGGAAGGCTGAGCCGGTATCTCTTGAGGGGAGATTGGACTCTCAAGCACAGAAGAATCAAGCACATCAGAGGAGCTCCCCCAGTCAGTCTGAACAGCACCTCCCGTCTCAGGCGAGGTGAGAGGAACATCGCTAGCATAACCTGAAGACTGAAGGTCTTGTGGTGGGGGACCAACGCCTTCAGCTACTTGAGCAGAGTTGTCCAATAGGAACTCTTTCCCTTTTTTTCCCCGAGCTGCAGCTGTTGCTGGTTTGGCAGGGTCATTCTTCCCGGGTGGTCGCCCTTGAGTTGCGGACACTTGTATTTTCGTAATGCCTCCAGTAACAGGAGATGCAGCTGGAGGTTCAGAATGGACCTCAAGTTCTTTGTCACGCCAGACGGGCGGCCCATAGTCCCTTGGATACACAGTTCGGACCACACAAAGTTGCCCTCCAAACTCACGGATGTGAACAACTCCCTTCTTCTTGGTTTCTGAGGGTTCACCGAACATCAGTTCACTCTGCCCATGCACATCTCCTCCTTCCTTCTCTATTTCCAGGTCACCACGTTTGGAGCGTAAAAGACAGGGTCTCTCTAATACCACCTGAACTCGCTCTCGAACTTTACAGACTCTTCCTCCTCCAGGAGTTGTGCTGCCTTGCTCTAATTCAGCATGAGACTCTTCGCAGAGTCCCTCTACCTCAAACTGGCGAAGTGCCCCCAGCCAGGCTGGACTGGGATCTGGGGAAAGAATGGCCATCTTGCTGCCCCGCAATGTCCCTGTGCTTCCAAATATTGGGGCCATACCAGGAACAAGGACAATATTGGTGGGCGTTTCAGTTTCTGTAGTTATTTGTCCAGATACCAATTTGGCTGAATCAGGGGCTCTTGTCGTAGGCCCCTCCGTAACGTCAACGCTTCCACTCTCCTTCTCTTCAAGGACACGGCTTCTCTTGTCCTCCCCTTCGGCACCTTTTAACTTCTGTTTGGCCTTTCGTTTTCGCCTGAAGCGAAGTTTTCTTTTGGGTGATAGTGGTGCAACACCACCTGGTCCAGCATCCCTGGGTTGTTTCACACAACCAAGGGAGCTCCCCATATCTCATAGAGACAGAGTAGATAAATATGAGGCAAAAGGAAATAAAGTGATGTCCACAATGGGAGCAAAACAGTCAGCCTGAGGCTGGTAAGGTAAATTAAAATGTTAAGTTAATGACTCATCTGGAGTGAAAATCATGACAAGAAGTATTAACCATGACAAAAGGGTTTGGTACAGGGTGAGGTTCTCCCAGGACATCATGTCTCAACTTTAGGTGTGGGCAGCAGTCATATGTCCTGTTGCTTAGTATTCTCTTTCTGTCGTTCAGGCAATGTTGCAGTTAACCTAAACCAAATATCACTTAAGGTCCTAGTAAGCCTCTAGGACATGATGCTGAATATAGGTTACTGTCCTTTATAAAATATTAAAATCCTACGGCAAGGCATTTGATGTTTTTTCACTCCCTCATGATGCAGAGATGATGCAGCACTGACTGAAGAAAAACCGGTGCCTTTTAGCCCATTTCACAAGCTATGTGTTAAATAGCAGGCCATTTGTAATGGTACTCGAAGACACTCGAAGGTACTTCAGAAGATATTCCTCAAGGTGAGAACGACAATAAAACTGCACTGCAGACATACAGAGACATACTCATGTGAGTGCACATGCTCAATAACTCTGCATCAGGATGCATCATTAGGATGCACTAATCGTCAGCTTGCATGCAACTAAAAACTGGAGAAAACCATGTCTGAACATGTATTTATGTGTGAACAGTAAGATGCCTAGAAACACCTGCTTCTCTGAATATCTTTAGCATACATTATTGATCACTTCACTCTGTAGTGCTAACATCACATAGGGTAGGTAATGTATTGGGAAGCAGTCATAAAAGTCCTGTGGGACGCTTACAGTAAAGCTGTGTAAGAGGTCTAAGATCAGCTGCTAATGGACGAAAGAGCAGAATCAGGTAGCTCATCTACAATTTAGTCACAACCCATCAGAGCTTAACATCTTTTGTTCCCATCATCACCCAAGCATAACCAGCCCATGTGAGATGATGTTTGGTCTTCACACCTGTAGCTATGAGTGTTTCACGTCCCAGGCATGTAAACTCCATTAAAACAAGTCTCCAGACATTGAAGAGAAAGAAGGGGAGGGGCTAGGTACAAAGCATCTCGCCACTGCTGCCACGGGAACTGGCATCCCATGCACTGACGCCAGCACATTCAAGTCAATAAAGAGGACGGTGACTACCATGAGTGAAGACCTCACCTTCAGCCAGCAAAATTCAACAACCACTTTCCCCCTGCTCACATGGCTGGTTATAGATGTGGTTTAGCACATAGTCCAGTCTCATATATCAAGTAGACATTGTTTCAAGCCATCCTGTCTTCCTTGTTCCCCCACTAAGCAGTGTATGTCCCTAAATTTAGGTGAGCCGATGAGAGAAAAAGTGATAACTGACAAGGTGCCGCTCCCTGATACTGTCTGCTTCTCTGGCTGTGGAATCTAATTAGAACGCCGCCAGGATAGGGCTGGGCTGGGCAGTTGAACCATGGCTGGAAGAAGAAAAGAGGGAAATCCAGAGGAATCCTCCCCCAACCTGGAGCTGCACTGCTGGCCTCAGAGAAGAGTGGTTGCCCCAGTATTGAAAAAAGCGTAGCTCCATCAGTCAAGCATGGCGAAATTGATCCGATTGATACGGTGCTCTCCTTTGCACAACCTGGGTACAAATTAAAATGTGCGACTTACATGTGTGTGCCTGCAGGGTTCAGCGATCCCGATTCTGAGATTGAAAGCATATGTGTCGCTGTATATGTGGTGTGCTTCAAGAGGCCTGCAGGGGAGAGAGGAAGCCAGGGGCTCCAGTAATAGCAGGTTGCATGTGTCCTCTTCTCAGTTGCTGGGTAGCTCCTCTGCTCTCACTGGTAGGCACCAGCGGAAAAAAGAGCTTCATCTCTAGTCTGCTGCAGCCTCACAGAATACGCTGCTGCTGCTTTAGCTTCCTCTCCTCCCTCTCTCCCTCCTCCTCACTCTTTCTCTCCTCCTATCCACGTGCTCATCCCTCCCTCCCTCCCTGTTCTGATGCCTGGTGAGCTCAGAGCTCAACACACACGCGCACATGCACACCAATCAAATTGGTTGGCAGCCTGAGACTGCAAGAAAAGAATGAACCTGAAATTTTAATTGTTGCTCCTTAACATATATGTCACTTTCACAGCTGATTTTATTGGCTCTCCTCTCTTACATATATATTTATACATATTAACACACTAGCCATAAGACATCTTGACAAAGATGAACAAGGGACAAGGCAGAATGAATAAATTTATTACTAACGGGTCTGAAGAACATGATCAATCTGTAAAGAGTTAAGGAGATGCAGATGAAAGATCTTGCCAGCTGTTAAGATGCATTCACATTAGTTAAATTCTGATCAAATTTCGCAGGCTGTTGGGTCAATACTGCACATTTGCACGACCAATTGAACCCAATACTTAATTCACATGGGGAAATCTTTCTCTCGATCACGTGGATTCCTGTTGAAATTACTGGATTTCGGCAGCAGAAATTTGGCAAATAGCAGTAAATGTGACCACACCTTAAGAGGCTGTGGACATGAAGATGAAGATATCCCTCTTCTATAGACACTCCCACACAAATTACAGCACTGTGATGATATTTAGTCATGTGATCAGAAGCAGCATAGACAAGCAGAATTGCAAAGGAAGGTGATCAATTAACAACCAATAAATCAATCAGAACCATGATACCATGATAATCAGCCTAATTGTCATGCATCCATAGTCTCTAGTACTGTAACTGAGACAGGGTAAATTTCTGTTTACTGACAGACAGAGACCAGCACCTATCAGCTTTATCCTGCAGATAGAGAGCATAAGATTTCAGCACACTGCAATCTTTGCCAAACAACCCAGCTGGCCAGACAACCACACCTTTTATGTGACTAACATAACAGCCAATCAGATCAGTTGTTTTTGTGACAGAGACAGCTGGTGCAAATTCAGCCTATGTTAACACACTGAAGCTTGATTGGTAATTCCCCACAGGATCCTAAACTTAGACAAAAATATATGAGGTCAATATGAGGATATACTAAACACAATTCCGAAATGCTGGGGGAGGGGGTTGGATAGCTAGTCTCTCTTGGATGTCTGAAGTGAAAGTACAGTATGCATCAAAATGGCACTTAGAGGAGTGGTTTTCGAATGCTTCTATTGACAAACAGCAACTCCTCCTAATGTGCCTCTGCTGAAATTATTAAATTGGATGATGCTTCATTAAATGAGTCATGCTATATTATATTGGGCTATAGTAATTTTGGCTGCAACTTGTTCTTCACAACAATAACATTATGCATTTCTATAGTGGTCTACCATCACACCTTTTATTTCTCCTTCCAATATATTATTGGTTGATAGAAAATAAAGCTAATGTTGAAATGTTCAACCAAAGCAAATTCTCCATACTGTCAGTGGCATGCTCTGCTTTGTGTACTATTGTCTCATTTCCATTGTTTCATAATTAATCAATGTTAAGTATTGTAATTAAGCATGCAAATTTTAAAAGTCCCATTCCTTGTTTTTTCGCCTCTGTTCAAATGTTTTCGTTTTGTCCCAGAGATGCAACAAGTAGTTTACAAGTACTTATTTGTGTGCCAGTGGCCTGCTCTGTTCTGAACCAATTACTGCAATTTGTCAAGATAATTGATAGTTTGTTTCAAATCTCTGCTCTCTAGTTAGTGTTAGAATATATTGGATGTAAAAATATCACATTCAAGCACTGTGGGGGAAAGTGGTTTAATTTCTAAAGCAATATTTCTTAATTTTAATATTTTTCTGAAGGTGTTTTTTTTTTTATTGATTTGCTATTTCATGAGGCCTATGCTTCCTCCACTCTTTTCTGCTGAATCATGCTGATTGAAAAAGGCTTTGGGGTCATACTAAACACAATCACCTTGGCAACCAGCTGCATGTCACCTTGTGATGTAACCGCTCTGTTGATAATAGTGTCCTCTTCTGGACGATCCTGGGTAGTGCAGCTAGTCTGCAGTAAATGATAACTATGTATTTTTAAGAACATTTAATAGAACTCTCTTAAATTATCTGCAGAGAGTTTGTTAAAAATGCATTATAACAGCTTTATTATTTTTGCTAGTCTTTAATAAATTAGCATTGTGGCCTTTTCTCATAGCTAATGGGTGACTAAGGTTATGTTTGGAAATGGAATGAAATACAACTTCACAACTGTATACTGCACATAGTATGCATTTTTGCATACTGATAAACTGATATACTATATTTGCTAAAACATGAAGACTACAAGCAGAGCATATAGTACTGCATACAATGCATTTTCAAAGAATGAACAGAAACAGTAACTACAGTGATCTGAATATATCTTTCTTGAGTAATTATTTGATCAGATTATAAGCCTTCTACACAAATTTGGATCAAAAATTAGCTTAACTGGTCATGTGTTTATTGTAGAACATTATTAATATGGTTTGAACAATCTGTGCTAGTATTCCATTCTGGAGCAAGGGCGAAAGTATCTTTTTATTGCTTCGGATAAACTACCATGCAGCCTATTTAAATTGCCTTTATAAATGGGACATTTCAATTCTACCATCCAGCAGCACAGTATCCACCCAACAGACCTTACTTCTCTAGCTTGACCCATAAGTATAGAAAATTGAAGGCCATTTCACAAATGTGCTCTGCAGGGCCCATTTCCGCAGATTTTTGTTTCTTTATCAGCATGCAGGCTGGCAGTGCCTGTCTAGAAAGTCTGTCATTCTGCAAAACAGGCAGACTGCCAGGTCTTTTCTATTGAAGCACCATATAAGCCATTCCCTGAGCATATTCAGAGGCTGAGTTTAGGATTGTACTCTATCCATCACATTCTCCTTGTGCATCATTCACTCTTGAGTTCTCATATTCTTGCCACGGGCAAATCCCTGTTGCTCAAACTGACAGCTGCGGACATGAGAGGCTGGTAAACAGCCGCTATTAGCATTAAGCAGAGTCACCTCTAACCTCTGGCATGCTGTGCTGATTACATATTCAAGTAGGACACAGCTGTGACTAAAGTGAACTTACCTGGAAGTGAAGGATGATTGTCCAGATCAGTCCCAGTGTCAGCTTTGGGTTCCCATCTGTGATGTCATCATTGCGTATATTCACTAATTTGACCTGCATTAAAAAAAAAGACTCTAATTAGTGGAAAATATCTGAATGAGTCAAATATACAATTTGGTGTAAATGTGTTAAAAAAGAACTGACTGCCAATAAAAGACTGTCTAGGTGAAAACTGATGACGTAATGTACATATTCAAGTAGGACACAGCTGTGACTAAAGTGAACTTACCTGGAAGTGAAGGATGATTGTCCAGATCAGTCCCAGTGTCAGCTTTGGGTTCCCATCTGTGATGTCATCATTGCGTATATTCACTAATTTGACCTGCATTAAAAAAAAAAGACTCTAATTAGTGGAAAATATCTGAATGAGTCAAATATACAATTTGGTGTGAATGTGTTAAAAAAGAACTGATTGCCAATAAAAGACTGTCTAGGTGAAAACTGATGACGTAATGAAATTTCAGGACAGCTTTGGCGTTTGTTGTCCTCTTACGCTTACAGCTGTCAGAAGCTATGTACTGCACATTGGGAGAAGGGTGCTGGTTGGCATTTTGTCTGGTTTAGGGACCCTGGGCTGGGGTGACAACAGAGAGGGGATTGGACAGACTTGCATGGGGCAGAACACATCTATCAACTCCAGGTCATGTTATCTCAGAGCCATGTTGCCAACTGAAGCACAATGAGACTGAGGACACAGATGTCCCAAGCTATCATCTTGTATTCACTTCCCCTAAATGTGCATTACATTAGTTCATTAGTGAGGGTAACTAGCCTAAACACTAAAGGGGACACGTCCTTCCCAATATTCAGAGGAGTAGTTGATGAATGAGACTTCTTCGACTCTTGTTTTACCCCACCCAATCTTGAATATTTGGTTACATCCTTGCATTTATAAACAAAGAGCTGACGATCTGTAAAAAGCAACTCTGAGAGTGAGAAAGTGCCATTTTAGACATTCATACCTGTCTCTGCTTAAGGAAGTCCAAGGCGATCTGCACATTCTGGAGTCGGTGAAATCGCATGCGACCCTTTTCCCTGGGCTATTGAAGACAGGAAGAGAGTGAGAGAGAAAACAGAGAGAGAATGCAGATGAGTGCATTGATAATCTGGGCAAATTGGAGGTCTGTGTGAAAACAGGACAGCTTCATTAGCACAAGCCTGAAAGCAGCACATGGCAAAACAACACAAGAGCCTCACAGGATTGTCAGTAATTAATAATCCTGTCTCAGAGTTACAGGGAATAGCTAGCTTTACTGTTTGAATGGTCTGCTAATGGCGACCTTTTCACAGTATGCTATATAATTATTGTATCTCACACACTTTATCTCGCTTGCTAACATCTGTCAGTAGTGGGTGACCAATAGCAATATCTAGAGTGCAGGGCAGTAGATGGCCGATATAATATGTCAATATACACTACCATCCAAAAGTCCAGGGTTGGTAAGATTTTTAATGTTTTTGAAATAAGTATTTTATGCTCAGTAAGGCTGCATTTGTTAACAAATAAATACAGTAAAAACAGTCATATTATTACAATTTAAAATAACTGTTTCTATATATTTTAAAGTGTAATTTATTTCTGTGATGCCAAAGCTGAATTTTCAGCATCCAGTCTTCAGTATCGCACAATCCTTCAGAAATAATTTTAATATGCTGATTTGGTGCTGAAGAAATATTTCTTATTATTTGTGCTACTTAATATTTTTGTGGAAACCCTGATACGTTTTTTTCAGAATTCTTCAATGAATCGATAGTTCAAGGAATTTATTTAAAATGGAAATCTTCTGAAAATGTATTTACTGTCACTTTTAATCAAATTTAATTTATCGTTGCTGAATTGATTAAAAAAATCTCACTGACCACAAACCTTTGAACTGTAAGTGTATATTACAATTTAACAGTAGGAAATAAGATGTACCAAAATTTCCTCAGGTTTCTATCTATTGATAAGGCAAAAATGTCAAATCTATTGACAAGGCCGAATGGCTAATTTTATTAATCAGCCAGATATGGCCAATAATCAAAATGGCCAATATATCATCCAATTAACTGGCCTGTCCAATATATCGGTCTATCACTGCTCTCTAATAAGGTCATGAAGCAGACTCACACACCCTCACATGCAAAGCATGCTCATTATCACCCACAAATGCAGCAGCGTGTACAGCAAACCTGGTGACCAGAAAACCCCCACAATAGGGCAGATGTGTCAAAGTCATCAGATTCAATGTGAGCACGTGATGTGAGCGTTGGCTGGACTGACGCGACGTGTAGTATATAAAATGTGTACACAAGGCGAGGTCTCTCAAACACCTAAATGTAATAAATCAGATTATGTGTGGCATCATGAATTATGCATCGGCGTATTAGACATTCCCCTCTGCATATTCACGAAATTGACCTGTCCTTTGAGTCCACGCCATGCAGTGTACAGAGCTGACTGTGTGTGACTGTGTTCATTTCAATAGGGGGAGGGGGGTCACACATACTCCCTGAGCTCCATCCTCCTCATCCTCCCCACCCAGCAGGATGAGTGGGGGTGCGCGTGACACAGACGTTCTCCGCAGAGTCGACGCGCCCTTGTGCTGATGACATCATCATAGAGAGGGTCACAGAGAAAGGATGAAGACAGAAACAGTGTTGAAGGGATGATATATGTAGAAAACAACAGTTTAAAAAATGAAAAAAATGGAAGCAGAGACCCCCCCCACAAAAAAAATAATACTGTGTATATATATATATATATTTAAATCATAAAAAAGATGAGGTAATAGAAAGGAATGAAGAATGAGTGAGAGAGCAATCGTAGAGGGCAGGTGGCTTGTCAGCAGTCTGTCTTTGTTAATCCACCCATCATTCAGTCTGCCCCAGTGCATCATGGTCCCCAGCCATCAGAGTGGGCAAGAGTGAGTGCAGAAATAATGTACTAATGCAGATGTCATTACAACACATTGCAGTACACGTCAGACTCCGCTATTTCTCTGCAGCAAGGCCTGTATCTGCATTCGGCAACATCAGCAACAAGCCAGGACACTTCATGACATCAGCCTAACCCCCAGGTCAACTCATGTGACATGATCCCCTGGCACCATGTGGCTCTGAATTGCATTATGGAAAATAAAGCAGATCTCTGCCACATGAATTACCTGGGAGAACTGCATAAAGCATTGGAATCAAATTTGTGTACAACCTTATGTATATCCTGTGTGTGTGTGTGTGTGTGTGTGTATGTGTTAAGGTGATGGTAGTTGCTTTCTCACCAATGTGACGCCAGACAGCACCTCAAGCAGGGAAATGAGGTTATGCCCATCCCTTAGATCCTCATACAGGTCTGTGATGTGCTTCCGCACCTGGAGAGAAAGAGAAAGAAATACAGTTAGAGTGAGATGTTGAGTTCTTTACAGTATTTAGAGGACTATGTGTAAGTGTTTGTATTATAAGCAACGGTTTCAATAAGGTTTGTGCTAGAATTACCATGTTTGGTTACAGGCTGACTTTATATATTAAACTGTATTTAAATGACAATTAGCAAACTAATTTGTTTGGTTGGTTGCGAACCATTAACAAAAGCAGTTTGGATAAAATAGTGAAGTAAATTAGTTTCATAGAGAGACAACTGCAGTGTACTAACTCTAACCAGTAGAGGGCGCCAGACTCATTGAGATGGGCCAGTAAACCAGCAACAAGAAAAACATGGAGGATCTTGAAAGATCTTGAAGTTCTGTACTAAAGTGCAAGTGTGTGTGTTTGTGGATTCAGAGATTCTAAGATGCATACAGCAAAATCCAACACAGCTGCCTCCCCACAGGGCCACAGAGGAACCATCTGCTGAGTATAAAAGAACATCCTGACAACTGTGAGACTCGCAATCCTCTCCATTCCCTCCCTTTATTTCAATCAATTCAGAAAAATAATAATAATACTATTAGTACTTTTATTCAGCAAGAGTGCCTTAAATTGATCGTAAACCAGCAACAAGAAAAACATGGAGGATCTTGAAAGATCTTGAAGTTCTGTACTAAAGTGCAAGTGTGTGTGTTTGTGGATTCAGAGATTCTAAGATGCATACAGCAAAATCCAACACAGCTGCCTCCCCACAGGGCCACAGAGGAACCATCTGCTGAGTATAAAAGAACATCCTGACAACTGTGAGACTCGCAATCCTCTCCATTCCCTCCCTTTATTTCAGTCAATTCAGAAATATAATAATAATACTATATTAGTACTTTTATTCAGCAAGAGTGCCTTAAATTGATCAAAAGTGACAGTAAAGACATTTAAAATGTTACAAAACTATTTTTATTTAAAATAAATGCATAAATAAAATAAATTACATTTAGAAATATATTATATACATTGATTATATTATATTATGTGTTTGTGCAAAAACTGAATCATGTTTTCCAGCATGATTTCAGAAAATTCAAAGAGCATCTTGTACTTCTGACAGTCTGTATAGAGACATCACATGATCAATGTCACTGATATTGTTACGGTCACATTTGTGTTCCCACACTCCCTGAACAAAACATGGCCATTTCTTTCCACCTCTGTCTCTTCCATGTCATTTCAGTGTTTATCACAGGTGTATTAACAGGGGATGCCCTGTTGCCATGGACAGAGAGAATAACAAACTATACTTGGGCACTGGAGTAATACCCCAGCGGTGGAGTATTAAATAATAAAATGTGTCACACTCAAATGCTTCCCCCCTCTGTAGTCAGCAGTCATTCCTGTAGACAGGTATGTTGTAGAACCCCTCTTAAACCAGTTTGCAGTGAGGTCACTGTTTATGTTAGGAGTGTGTAAAGGACAAACAAACGGATGTGACACAATCTACACACTGCTTTTAGTCAGTGTAACATTGCCCGAGGGGAACCACATACCCGTTCACCTGCCAGAGATGGAGAGAGATGCGTAAACACAATGCTAACAGGTCTCATCACCTACTTTGTATCTGCTAATGAGACTCATGACAAACTACGCGAGCTATGCTATAACAGCCAAAGTGCCAACTGAATAATTGCAAATTTCCGGGTATAATCATTCCAGAATTAAAGACCTGTCAAATATCAACTGATAATTCTAGACCGGTCCACTATCAAAACCAGAACAGAATGTTAGTGGGATCTTACATCACTTTGAAGTAAGGCTGTAAAACGATTAATCGCGATTAATCGCATTCAAAATAAAAGTTTATGTTTACATACTATATGTGTGTGTATTGTGTATATTTATTATGTATATATAAATACACACACATATATGAATATATTTAAAAAATATATTTGCATGTATATTTTTATACTTGAATATCATTTATATTATATATAAATATTTTAAATATATATAAATCTAACATTTTTCCTTAATATAACACTGTTATTTTGAATGCGATTAATCTCGATTAATCGTTTTGCAGCCCTACTTTGAAGCACTGAAGACACGCAATCTGTCTTTTGTTATATGTGGGTAACAAACAGTCTGTCGTCTCTAATACAATATAAAGAGGTCCCAAAAGGGTCACAGAGGTCTAGTATATATAACTCACTACTTGTAGAGTCTAACCGTTCAGCAGCACTGTATAAACCTATCTCATTTCCTATGGTCAGTCTACATTACAGTAATACCGGCTGAGTTATGCGGCCACTATCTCTAACCTCATAACTCTGGCCCTTCTGCGGTTGGTCATCTGCCCTGCCCTTGAAATACCCAGCATTCTTTGCTCTCATGATCTGTAGTCAGTGGGGCAGGAGCTACAGGGGATTAACAGACTCACAAATATAGTTCTGGAGCATGACAACATGCTGAACGTATTTTCAGTGTCATATGGACAAAACACTGGGGAGATACCTTTGTCATTGTGTTGTTATTATTAAACCAACAACAGCTTCTGTACAATCGTTGACTTGCAGGACCCACTGCAAGTGTCCTAATATTAATAAGATCAGTCCCTGAGTCTTATGTCTAAGTGTGAACGTGTGAGCATGCATGCTGTGTGTTCAGCAGGACTGAAGCCCAGCGGCCAGCAGGCCTTATCATTGTGCAGTGCAGCAGAAAAGACAAAAATAACCCGGCGTGCTGGACTGTACCTTTATGAGATGTTTGTTGACCCATTTTGTGAAAGTTTTCTTCTGCACCCTGTCTCGTTCATCTGTGAAAAGAGAGATAGAAGAGGAAACAGCAGAAAGAGACAGAGAGGAAGAGGCGAGGAAGGGGGAGGAAGAGAGATTGGGTTAATTATGTAACACATAAAGAGGACTGCAGCATCATGCTGTGTATTATTTACAAGCGTCCCTTCAGTCTTGCTTTAAATAGCCTGAATTCAAACACGGACCGTAAAATGTAAAATCGTGTATTTTAATGATTAATACATTGATATAAATCAGCAGGACTGAAGCCCAGCGGCCAGCAGGCCTTATCATTGTGCAGTGCAGCAGAAAAGACAAAAATAACCCGGCGTGCTGGACTGTACCTTTATGAGATGTTTGTTGACCCATTTTGTGAAAGTTTTCTTCTGCACCCTGTCTCGTTCATCTGTGAAAAGAGAGATAGAAGAGGAAACAGCAGAAAGAGACAGAGAGGAAGAGGCGAGGAAGGGGGAGGAAGAGAGATTGGGTTAATTATGTAACACATAAAGAGGACTGCAGCATCATGCTGTGTATTATTTACAAGCGTCCCTTCAGTCTTGCTTTAAATAGCCTGAATTCAAACACGGACCGTAAAATGTAAAATCGTGTATTTTAATGATTAATACATTGATATAAATAATAAATTTCACCCATGGTCACATGATTTAATAGAAAGCCATATTGTAAATACACTACCATTCAAAAGTTTGGGGTCAGAAAGATTTATTTTATTTTATTTAGCTTTTAATTTGATGAAAAGTGACAGTAAACTTTCCATTTAAAGATAAGAAAAATAAGTATTACGGTTTCCACAAAAATATTAAGCAGCAAAACTGTTTTCAACATTGATAATAATAAGAAATGTTTCTTCAGCACCAAATCTACATATTAGAATGATTTCTGAAGGATCGTGTGACACTGAAGACTGGATGGAGTACTGGTGCTGAAAATTCAGCTCTGCATCACAAAAATAAATTACATTTGAAAATATTAAAATAGAAAAACATTTTAAATTGTTACAACATTTCATAATATTACAGTTTTACTGTATTTTTGATGAAATAAATACAGCCTTGGTGAACATAGGAGACTTTCAAAAGTATTTAAAACATTTGCCAACTCCAAACTACTGAACTTGAACAGCAGTGTATGTTTGTGTGTGTGTGTGTGTGTGTGTGTGTGTGTGTGTGGCTATTTTCATTGAAATAACACACCAGTTTAAAATACAACATGCTATTTTTTTCATGGAAAGTCATTTTTTAAACATCCATGATTTTTATCTTTAATTATTATTATTATTACTATTTTATAAAGCCTTTTAGAATGTCATATTAAATCCACAATATTAACAAATAAATTTGACAGGCAAACAGGTTACAGAGATACATCAGTATCTGCTATATTAGCAGAGGTTTGGTAAAATTGGAAACTAGGCTGAAAGTTAAAAAAAGACCAGTTAATAGGTTCATTACCGTTGTCACCTGACCTAAATTCTAGAAAAATTACTATAACATGTAGGAGGCCACGCATGAACACATGCTCAGAACACCATGACAAGTGAATGTTCAGCTTGATGCTGCATCACACCACACTCTACGTATCCAGAAATGCACAAATATCTTGAACATTATGCAATTCAGCTGACATATCACAGTCTTGATCTGACACCTGATGCCACAGATATTGATATGATCTAAAAACACTGCAAACAAAGATTTATAGGCAGGAAGTTTTGAATTGAGACATGAACTTCAGATCTGTTTTGTCTCTTATTCTGAACATGCCAGACTAATGACGCAACCAAGCACAGAATAGAAATTGATCACACAACCCTGCTATGAGTTCATTACACTCCTGCTTTATCTGCCGCTTTCTTTCGACCTCTTACTGTGAGGCTACAGTTGATGTGGTTGCTATAGAGACACAGCAATACTAAGCAACCATGTGGTGCAGACGGACCACTTCCTCCGAAAAGCACACACAGAACACCCCACTCTCAAAGTCACAATATATGCACATATAATATATATATATACAATTAAAAAAAGATACGGCGATATTTTTGCATACTTAATATTTCCTTCCTAAATGAAAATAAAAAGAGTTCTCTACTAGCGTGAGAATTGTGTGGGAATCCAACCTGTTTTTTGAATCAGGAGTTGATCATTTTAATGAGTGAAGCAAACACACCTTTTTAGCTTTCCACATACCTCACACACCCACTTTTGCATTGTGGACCTGATTCAAGCAC